CACACATATATATACACACATATGTGTTCTTTTATGTCTCTGTGTTCCACTTAAATTTTTGCTTCCAATATATCATTTTTATTTTATTATTTTATGAAAAGGTTTGCCAAACACTGAACAGTCTGAGGGCAGGGTAGTACACAATGTGTTTCATCCTGGCTGCAGTAAAAAATCATTCCTAATTCCTGAATGACCTGCTAGAAAAGCTTCTAGCAAGTTCTGCTGTCCACCATGAGCATTGCAGCATCCATGCTCAGAGCAGCAGATGGGGTTTCTTCTTTTTTTTCTTCTCTCCGTCCACTTAGGTTCAGTGCCTAAGCACTGGTCCTGATCTTGTCTGCAGACAGACCTATTGCTACCCATTTGTCAGCCTTCATTTCTGTAGAGGCAATGTATAAACACAGCAAGCAACAAGCTTTGTAGGAGTGCACTGCAGTGAGAGGGAGACAGAAATCTTGGGGAAAGCTGGAATCCTGATTGGCTCAAGGACATGAACTTTAAGTCAGGACCGCTAGATGTATTAAAAAGTTGTTGTCACTTTAAAATCCTCCAACATTCAATTATTTGCAATACCTTTCACTGTCAGCAGTATTTCCCACATAATTCATTGTAATACTGGCAAAGGCATTTGCCAGTATAATTTATCACTCAGTAACATTTTTAATTTTCAGGTAAATGATTGGGCCACATCCTCAGCCTCTGCAGCCATATAATGTCCCTTGGAACCATAGCGGATGCTTGTCTGCATGCATGGCGAGTTCTCAGTCAGTCCCTGGATCTTCCCCGTGCAGACAGGAGAGCCAGGATTTGGTCAGTGTGCCTCACTTAGCCTTGCTGACATAGGCGCTGCCTGCTCTCACCTTGCATGGAGGCACAGAAACCAGGAGGTAATGTGTCCCTGCTCTGCTCACTCCTGAAACCCTTTAGGCTGAGTGGGTGCTGCAAAACTACTGGGCCCTTCTTTAAAAGGTATCTTTGCACCCCATTTAGAAATGCTTGCGCTGTAATTTGCTCCAAATTTTTCCCAGCCTTCCCAATAAAATATCTATCTGTCCCATCATACAGTTCCTTCTAATGTCCTATAATACACACAGATACTTCATGTTGTCTTCAAGACAGAAAACAATAGTGTGCCTTGAGACACTCATTCATTTCCCTTGGGAGATTCCCAGTGGCGTCCCCCAAGGTGCACAGAGGTTGTCAGCAGCACAGCTGGAATAAAGCACACACTTTTTCCAGGAGCCATGCTCAGCTTTGACTTTCCCTGGGGAATACCACCGAGTTCAGTAGAGCTGCATTTCCTGAGCTGAGTTTGCTGCTGGAGGGAATCGTGTGTGTTTCTCTGGATACCACAACGGCCTCAGGCTCTGGCCACTTGCTCTGTTCACGTGCACCCAGCGACACCTCTTTTGGATGGTCTCACTACATTGGGGTCTTACACAACCTTTCCGACCTTTCATTTATCAGCTCCCCAGTGAGATCATCCTCTGCACTCAGAGTCATTTGGGTGCTTTGCCCATGACTCTCGGAGTTGCATGTCACTCTTGCCTTGTCTTCCTGCTCAGTCATCCATGCTGAATTATCTTCCACTCTTCCCTCTGGGAATAACTAAGGCTTTGACCTAGTGGGACTGTTTGTGTGGTTAAACGCTTTGATGTACCAGACACTGAGCTGCTTTCTCCTAAATCTAAGGTGGCTGGGGATTTCAGACTGTTTTCAGAAACAGTTTGTGCACTGGGAAGCATATGAAAGTCAGCAAAGGACACCAACTTGTGCATTTTCAAGTATTTTATCTATCATCTTTAAACCCTTCTGTTTTCTTTAGTTTCCAAACAGCTGCCTTTTCATGTTTTTGATCTTCTAGAGAGGTTATACAGCTGTAATAAGAAATATATTTCTCTTCTTTTCAGAATCCTCAGGGAGCAGGGGACATTCCTTTTTTACTGATATCAGATCAATTTTGTAATTTCATTTTGAAGGCTGTTCTGAACAAGTGGGGGAAAGCAGAAAACCAGCCATATTTTTCCCCAGGTTTTCCTGAATCACCTTTGGACCATGACTTAGACAAAATTCTGAGCAAAATTAATGTTTACACCTTTCTTGCACTATGTAATTTAACTTTCAGCAATATAAAATGGGATAGCAGAAGTATTTTTATGTGCTCTTACAATGTCCAAAGTTGTTTGTTACTGTTTTTATTTGAGGGAACTAGACACAATCCTGGCTACCTTAACCACTGCCTTTGAGAGAGCTACAGCTGAGAAAATCCGCTGCCAGGAAGAAGTGAATAGAACTAACAAGGCTATTGAGCTGGCCAACAGATTAGTGAAAGGTCTGAGGTGAGGTCCTACAGGGCAGGCTAATGAAGCAGCCTACAGAAAGCACTTCTTTGTTATACACTACTGATCTGGCAATAACAGAGCCACTTAGCAAAGAACCTGATGAGCTGAAAAAATTATGTCATTATCATTCATTTTTTTCATAATAGAAACATGGTTTTGACCTTTGCATTTTCTTACATTTTTGCTTCATTGTGCTATATATTTACTGTAAGATTACCTGGTAACTAACCTATCCATGAACATTAGGAGGAGAAGTTGATTGAGGATATTGACAACGAAGGCAATTTATTAAAATGCGATGACTGTATTTGTAACAATTAAACAACACTAATGATACTGCCCAGGGTTGGGATACATAGAATAGAATATAATACAATTTGCACTACTTAGTTAAGCAATATGATAATTCTGTAATTATCTTTCTGAGATTTGCAGTGGGTATTTCAGGAGAGAATAAATAATGGCAAAGCCATGAATTATCAAAAATCCATATTGTCTGTTGATCCAGGCTGACTCAAGGGAATCCATATTCACTGATGGATTTTTTCATTTATCATTCATCTACTGATGAGGCTGCTTTTTATACACACACACACACAGACAGACTTTTCACAGATACTTATTTTATTGTAACATGCATTTAAGAAATCTCTTGTGGTGACTCACAGCCATTATAGGTTTTGTCCCCTTCTACCTAGTACTTTCAAGCTGAGTTTTATAACCAAACACATAGTAAGCAGCAAAAATAGAAGATCCATTTGTTATTAAGCGAAATTATATGGCTGAGTGTGGCTACTGGAACTTAAAATATAAAACAGGGCTTAAGAGTTATTTCCTGAATCAATAAAAAGGATTTATTGACTAGAGGGGAGGGAGGGCAGTGCAGAAGGCCCATTGTTTCTGTTTAAAGAAGCAAGATGAATGCATTTAAAATGTTAACATCCTGGCTGAAAGTGTAATGTATTTTAGTGATTAATAATGCCTGTAAAACTAAACCATGTACCTAATACAGAATAATAAAATAAATAACAAAGCAGACCTCTTTAAAGTTTGACAATAAATGATTGTTTTAAGGTGTCTGATAATAATATTTTCTTCCACCTAACATATGATATTGTTTGGTTCTCCCATGTGCCTCCTGCTGGGCCTGACAAGTGCTGGAATAGCATACGTATAGAGATGAAAGGCAAAGTGTGGGTATGTTGGGGGGGAGGCATAATGAAAAATAATCTAAAGGAGGAAACAGAGATGAAAGGAAAGAAGGAAAGTTGAGCCATGTACTAGATGAAGACAGTAAAATGAGTTTTAGTGGAAAGTCCTTCAGTTAGTACCTCCCAAAGCACCAGCTCCATGAAGAAGGTGGCCAGCTCGACAGATTGGTGATGGGAAATTGAATTCATTCCTGTTGTTAGCTGTACTGCATTTGGTCAAAGGCAGTAATAACCATATGACAGCTATTTGGAGACTTATAGAAAAAAAACCCATTTTAATCCAGTCTGTGGTAAACAATAGGTCAGTGTTTACTATTAGCAAACAGTGTAATACTGATGGCGATGTACTGTCAGTCCTGGCTGTTTCTTTGCCTTATTTTTGGCTAAGAAGACACTCTCTTATTTCCCAGTTGTATGGCTAAGTTATTGCTGTGTGGAGAATGGCTCAGGAAATGGGAAAATAAAATTGTTCACAGTGTTTTTTATAATAAGCAAACATGTAAAAATTTCTTTATTGACTCTTCTTAATAAATACACTTTTACAGTGGAAATTATAATAAAATAATCAAATGTGTGTGTTTTCTTCTAATTCTTAGGGGGAGTGTTGACCAAACAGCAGGAGAGCTGAGAGTGTCTAGCCAGGATCTGAGGGAAAGGCTTGCACCAACTGTCATGTCAAATCTCTTATTGACTTTATGGCATAAAAGATCTTTCCCAGAAGTAGAAATTGTTTTTTCCTGCCTTCTTCTCTGAGCCCTGGCATGCAAGGGCTGTTTTGGGTGGTTGCATGAGTAGTTGTTACTCTGTACCAAGGAATTCTTTGCTTCTGACAGGTGCCAATTATGCTGTGGACATCTGCCCTGGAGGTATTGAATCAAGCTGACAACTCATTTTATATCAATCAAACAACAACCATTTTCAATAATTTCCCATCCAGCTGGGACTGAATTTGCAAAAGTGATCTATGTATTAGAGACATTACCAATCCACAGAGACATTCATAACCGTGATTATGTTCTGTTTTCCCACAGAAACTCTTGCATCTGCACAAGAAAGCAACAACTTCTTCCACTACGCAGGAGGATGCTGACAACTCAATTTTGGTCACTTGCTGCCAAGCTCAACTTACAACAGTCAACTCACATCAGACTAGAAGGGTATTTTTTGTTTGCCATCTGCAAATCCCTTCTGTTGATCCTCCAATCAATGGGAATCTGTAAAGTAATACTGAAGTATTCACTACTCTTTAGCCACTGCAATGGGTGGTTTTTTAATAAATGCTTAGTTTTTTTAATCCTGTTTTTTGGGTAGAAAAGGAGAGCAGGGCTTATCCCCAAACAAAAGGGGATTAGGAACAAAAGAAAATGCAATGCAGAGATGCGTTCCAGATTGCAACTTTTCTTTCCTGTAATAGTTTATTTTCAAAGTGGTACTGGCACCAGCCAAAATCTCATTCTGCTTTGCCTGAAAAGCATTAAGGTAAGTGAGGGATGCAGATAATACCTTCTTTACAGATACATATTTTTCAAAATACACAGTTAATCAGAAAAAAACCTAGCACTATTCCATTCCCTTTTTGACCTGTTAAACCATCATGTTACCTATATGAACTTCCTTCAAATACTTTATTTAATAGGACTGTATATTTGGAGGCAAGGAACTGGTAAAACGTTCTTCTGGAAAGGACCAAAAACATGCCCCTTGCTAGTGTTTGAACTACATTTGCCAGCTGACTGGAGCTATAGGTGACAACTAACCCACAGACCTTAGCAATATGGTTAGCAAGCTAGAACAGTAGGCAGGCTCACCTTCTTCTTGTATTCTGTCAAGTGCTGTTTGCATAAGGGGACCAGCTTTTATTATTCTGTTCTGTCCCCACTACTGTGCATCAGGGCAGCACAAAGCAAAATTTAGTGCTTGGATATAGTATTTGCTTGCTAACAATTGTTATATTTAAGGCTGCACTAAGACTTCTGTCTTAACCTGCTGTTCTCCCATGCTCGGAATATTCTTTAAAAAAAAAATCCCTTTCATGTGAAATTTTTCATGCTTGTTATCAGCTGAAATATGATTTTTTTGGCAAGCCTGAATAAAATTCATTCATTCATATTTGAATTATGCAAGAAAGTGGGTGTGGGGAGAAAGGTCTCTTCTTTAGCACATTCATAATTCACAAAAAAAGCTGCATATTACAAGCTGAAACTTTCCAGGTGGCTAGTTTTGACTGAAGGGTAGTCTTCATGCTAATTACAAAGAGAGAATGACTGAAAGAAAAATGAAAGAGAAAAATTAAAAATGACACATATTGTGATTAACTCATTTGTTTTGTAGGTGTGTCATACAAAGTTCCATTGTGAGCCACTTAGAGCAAGTTTAAAGTAACAATTTCATTTAAGTTACAATGAACTACTATAATTACATAATATCAATGTTTTGTGCTGCAATTTCACTAAGAATTTCCCTACAGAAGCTGCAGAAGCTTTTACTTATGCAAATGTGGAAGCTCACAGTGAAATCAGTGCAGAATCTTATGAATCATTAACTTTGACCAGAATGCCAGTCTGGGGAAGGGGGGGAATAGTGGCAGTAACTCTCCCTGTGCTCTGGGTCTCCCTGAATGCTGACCTGCTGAGGAAAATAGCTCTGAGGTTTTGCAGTTTGTTCTAACTTACTACACTGACTGTGAGGGACACCACACCACTAAAGCTTTGTTATTCTCTTTTCCTTGCTATATTCCCATATACTAGTGGACATAACAGGTGGCACATGATCTGATCAGCACTGTATGACCGAGTCTCCACAGTACCAAAGAATTACTGCAGTGGAGGGTATGTGGGTAGCAGAAGTTTGGAGTGTTACAACAGTCTCAACCCATGGAGAAAAGATGCTGTGACATGCAGTTCCATGCTCTCATAAAACACCTGGAAATAAAATACAAGCATGTAAATAAAGCAATATAACTCTAATTTTAAACATCTGAAGGTATAACTGGCAATGGTTCCCATAGTAATTTCTGACCTTGCTCCAGATGGAGTAAGGATAAGTTCAGACTAAATTTAGTTCTACACAGCACTAAATTCCCAGTAACCTCTTGAAAGCAAAATAAGAACTGTTGGATTCAATGCAGGAATTCTCATCTGTTTTTTTTTCTTCAGAGTGAACTGAGGAGAAATACATTTTTCCCAGTGATGCTGTTTATTTTTACAAAACAAAACAAGTGAATGCTGAGACACACCAGCTTCTGTAAATAGGAATTTAAAACTTAACCTTTATTATTCCAGGTTCCCATTCCAGAAACAAAAGGTCTTGATCCAGTCACTGTGTGGATGGATGATACAACAATTGCTAAATAGAAAAGTGACAGCAGTGCTCAGCTATGGCCACATAACTAGTCCCTCGTCTTACATTTACATTCGTTGGCATATACTGATCAAATCTCAGCACTGGGGAATAAATGGATAAAAGTTATATCTGATTCAGATTTATAAATTATCTATTTGAGGCAAAAAGGGAGAGAACTGCTTGGCAGCTACAAGTGCTAATGAGAGTAAAAACAGATGCAGAGCTATCAAGAAAACATGGCAACTATTATTCGTCTGAACGCTTGATGTTGCACAAGGTGTTAATGCCTCAGCAACCATAACAACTCTGCTAAAGTACATTACATTCATCAAAGTATAACAAATGGGATACAGCACACTGGCATTGTGTCCTCTGCCTTTCACCAGCCCAGTACTAGAATGACTCTATAGGTGTGTGTCTTACAGCAGGTATTTCTTGCTGGAGGCCCTGTTTTGGTAGACAGCTTGGAAGAAATTACTGATCTTGTACTTGATCCAGTATATTGCAAGTTATGTTCAAAGTATTTTTAATAGTCTGTTATTTTCTTCATCAGCTCTCTCTCTGTGATTATGTTCTGCAAGTACTCAAAGTAGCTTCCTCTGAAAGCTGTCTTCCTTGTATGATAGTTACCTTAACTCCCAAGGATTGCAGTGCCCAAGACATGTTAACTCCGGTTGGTTTTTTACTTGTCTATTTTTCTTATTTGTACCCTTGCATGCACTACAGTTCAATTACTGCAATTTGAGCACTCCTTTCTATCTAGCTGAACAATCCTCCCCAACACACCACCATCCTGATGTGTAATCACTCAGGAGACATAATCATTCACTTAGAACTAAAATAATTCTCCTACCATTTGCTCCTTGCCTCCATTCTGCCCTTTTTCTCTGATTTATTGCACTTATATTCCTTATGGAAATATTTTGACATCCATCCCCTCTATTCAAGTCTTGTACCCACCCTTGGAGGGAGTGCTTTGAACAGAGGAAGGCCAGGATGAGTGTGTATCTTATATACTCACCCTTTTATTCCAGTGTCATTTCCCCCACCTCCTCATTATGTTCCTGAGCCCTTCCCCTCCTTCTAGTTTAGCTGTGCCTACTGTCTCTCCTACAGCTACCAGGAGTCCTCCCTTCCCTCCCCTGCCCCTCTAGTAAATGTCAGAAAATATTTCCTCACAGCCTGTGCTACTCAGGATTGTGTCTGAGTACAGGGATCCTGAACCCCAGCCTTGTCTAAGCTCTCTAAATCACTTGACCCCAAAAAGGTTGCCACAGGACAGCACTTATCTACAGCGCAGGCTGGAAAGAAAGTGCTGCTAATGCACTGATTTCCTTCAGCTCCGAGCTTTGCATCTATTTAGACTGCAAGAAAGTATTTAGTGAGCCAGAACACTGAAATTGTTCCTCTTCAAGCTTAGTCAAAATTACTGTGAAATTCCTTAATTAAAAAGTTCAAGCTGAGAAGCAAAATGCTTTTGAATTCAGCCATCACAGTGCCCCACTCAGTACTGTACCTTCTGCCTCTTCTTTATTGCTCCCTTCATGTTCTCATGTTACCTTACGTGCTGCCTGTTGGTTTTGCTTGTTACGAGTGTCCCCCCCGACTGCCACCCCCACACTGCATCGACAAGCAGAAAGCTCTTTATGCCAAGTGTTGACCTAGTGGTGTGCACCAGCCCAGGGTGGAAGAGCATCTTGAATTTCTTGCTCCCCTGGGAGCATTTGATTAAAGGAGGATTTTCATGGTGTGTTGAGATTCAGAACGTGGCTGCTATTCAGTAACTGCTGTTTGCAGTTCTGAGCCTGAATCCATGCTGAGGCTCTGCTGGTTTTGTGGCAATAAGCTAAGTCCTGGGACAATGAATTCTGCACGATTTTCCCCAGTGTGCAGAAGAGCAGAAACAAGACCATGCTCACACTCACTGTCAGGCTGCTGTTTTTGCACTCAGGGACACAGGCTTCACCAGATTTTTCACTGATTCCCTATAGAAGGCTTCCTGACCTGCTCTCTAAATGGGTCTCTTGGATCTAAAGAATTTGACTCAGCTTCAGTGTTACTTGCAGTGTGTGAGGTCAGTTTGGAAACATTTGGAAACTCCCAACTGAGGACATTTCAGGAGTGTCTGCACTACTCTCACACCTGCACAGGCCCCAGAACAGCACTTGGAAATGCTGGATACCTCACAGCACAGCGTGCCTTTTACAGACCTCAGTAGGCTGAACCTGATACACAAATACTCACATGTGCTTCTCACTGTGCTCAGAGGAATACACAATCTAAATTAATTTCTGCTATTATAAATCTAGAAAAACTTTTCTATAGCCCAGGAGATGGCTCTGGAGTCACAACAGAGATGTGATGTGTACAGATGTACAGAATACAGTTCACAATTTTATTTCTTTCTTCTGTTTCTAGTAATTGAAGATTTAATTACTAAAAACTATGCTTACAATGAAACTTGAGGAAATCAGAATATTTGAAAAGGAGATATGTATTTCCTTTATTTCCTATGGTTTGATTTAGGGATTTGCAAACTTACCACTTCAGTCTGAACTCATAAAGCAGAAAGATTACTTTAAAATTAAGTTGATAGTGCTTTGGGATGAATTATGGATACTTTCTTTGGCTGCTGACAGTAATTTCATTTGGGATATTCTTCTCGCTGAGAAGCTGTAAACAAGAAAACTCACAACAGCAGAAATACAAATAAAGAAAAACAACTAGAAGAATTAGGTTGGCTACAATAATAATAATTTTCATGCTGAATTTGGCTCCTTTGGGTCTAAACCAAATATGTTTATTTTTTAGAATTGTATTATTTCATAATCTGTATTTTTCAATTTACTTAGCCACGGTGAATATATCCATGTTGTATGTGTTTTTCCTTCTAGAATCACTATGTCTCCATCATGAAGAAAATAAAATAAAACTTTTCAAATCACCATAAAACTAAATCTGCAAGAGGGGAATTTTAGTGTTTCATTTTACATACCATATAAATGTAGCTCTCCCTGGGTCATTTTTTCCCACAACTCCTTTTTGTGCTAACTTGTTAAAAATTATGTCACAGGACCCCAAGACTACAAGGAGCTGTTAAACCATTTACCCAAGAGACCAAACACAAGCACCACCAGGGGAAGGATTAGTGAGCAGGATGCTCAGACACTCATTTTTAGCTTGAAGTGGCCACAGCTGATTGCAGTTACATCTGGCCACTGGATGTGTGCCTCTTCATGTGAAAGCTGGGGACACTGAAAAGTTAATAAAAGCATTTTCCAACTCCATAAATGCATTGCAGGGCACATGACATTCCTTTCTGCTATGGTGATGCATATGACTGTGTATCTTGTGCAAGCAGTTACCGGAGATGCAAACCAGGAAGTGTGTGTTAAAAATAATTGTATTATTAAATGAGGAATCAATTAAGAGATAAATATACCCTTAATAGTAAGAAAATATGATCAGGTAATATCAATTGTACTTGTATATCTTTTCCATCATCAGAGTGCTTTAAAAACCTTGACATTTACTCACAGTATGTCTCTCTGAAACAGGAAAACAAGGCTTTGTTCAGGTGGTGAATGAAATAAGAGTGCAAAGGACTTGACCAAAGAGTATCAGCAAGTCAGTAAACTAAAACAGTATGCTATCAATAAAATCCTTAAAAGAATCTGTCATAAGGGTTGTGTTTTTAGTTGAGTTTCAGGAATTTTATGGGCAAAGAATTGAAAATTATGACCAAGCTGGCTCGCTCTTCTAGCTTCATGCTTGACCTGCAGTCTGCAGAAAAAATTGGAAATTATCTTGGAGCTTCACATAGCTACCATGCCTGACCTGTCCTAGTTCATGTAAGATGTTTCAAAGAAACAAGTTGATAATGATCCAGGCATTCATAGCATGCATGTATTTGCCTTGTCATAGCATTATTCTCACATGGTCTTTAGACAACCTCAAACACTACAAAAATCAGCGTCTGCATTACCATTATAAAATTTCTTACTTTTAAAATCTAAAGATTGCAAAGAAGCTATTTCAGAGAGCAAACAATAGAATATTTACAAGAAGGAAGCAAATGTTTTGCTAAAATCATTTTGGGAAAAATAAAAGCCTTCAAGGATTTTGAAAAAGGCAAATGTGGAGCTTAAAGGAACTTTTACCAAATTCCACCATAGCTGCATTTGAAAGCTAAACTGTGAGAATTCAAAAAATTCCAGGCAAGGAGATTCCACTTACTTTAGAAATCTATATATTTTAGGCATATTTTTCCATAACACTTTGTGATATTACATATCACTGTACTTTGTGTTGTCATTTACATAGGTGAAGTAAAGCCTGGCAGCAACTCGACTGATCACTTTGAACTGAAAAACCACACAAGATGCTGACACAGAAAATCACCCCTTGATTTCTTGAGAGTTAAATTGCATCTGCAAACGATGTCAGGTTCCACTTGGAGTAAGCTCTGATGTCTAGTGCATTTCTGCCACTGGTTATCTTTCTTTTTTGTTTCTTCAGATAAGATATACTTGCATTCTAGCTGCTAATGAAAGAAGAAGATAACCCTGAAATGCTTAGTCACTTTTATACTTTTTTACTGATGCTGTGAAGAAGTGACAGAATCCTGTAGTTAACATGATTCAAAAGATAAGTGGGAGGAGAAGGTGGAGAAAGATTATATAAAATGGATTTATATTGCTTCTACAACTGAATTGTTTTCAGTATAATGTCACGCTCTTAGTGTGGGGGATTCTGCATGTGTCGTGATTCTGCAGATGTTCTTGCACACTACGTGCAGCTGCACTATTTGTCATGGGCAAATTTAATAGCAAGATGCTTGTTATATGTTCCCCCTATTCTTACTTCACAAAAAACAGTGAGGGGAAAGTAATCTACTACCTAGTAGCTTGCTTGCTTCCCTTCTTTATAAAGCCTTTTAAAACACTTTAAAACAAATTTTGGAAACACCATCTTTTGTACTACATTCTGTAACATCTGCAATTATAGATCTGTTACTTTTGCTAGAATGATTTTGTTCTTTCTAATGGTTATATTGCTAATTAAGTAATTTTAAGTACTTGAAAAGGTCATATTCCTAACAGTGGGGGGGTTCTTCAAGAGCTTCATCCTTCAAAGGGAGAATACTTTCTGGTAAGTACTGAATATCCTCTGTTCTCAGTGACTGCAGATGAAACTCAGAAGCACTCCATGCAGCAGTATGGCAGAGCCAAGTGCTGTCAGAAATTTTGCAGAGTCAAACTCAGAAGAGCTCTCCTACCCTTCTAATCTTAAAATTCTGGATTCTTTCCTGTAAGTATTCCCTTTCCTGAACTTTGTTGGTCCAAGGCCAGTGTGTTAATCAGCTCTTCAGAGGGGACCATACCCTTGAGTTCCAGCTTCTTGCCAATGTATTCAGAAAGTAGAACAATATTTTGCAAAAAGAAAAAATATTTAAAAAGGCAAATTTTTTTCTCTTGAAAAGCCTATATTGTGGTGAAACACAGGTTGTCTGGTTAGTGGCAAGGGAGGTAACTGAAGAACTGGCAGTGCAAGGAGAAATTTGGACTTCAGAAGAACGAACTGAAGTAGAAGCAGATCCAACTAAACCAAACAGGACAAAACTCAAGAAGACAGTACAGCTGTAGAACAAGTTAAGGGTGTTACACTATCAGTAAGTATATGAACAAAAAACAGATGTTATAAATGAAAAATTTTCATGTAATTACTGTATCTCCTACAGTGCAAGAAAGACATTAACCTACTGGTGCTACTCCAGTGGGAGCTGTAGCAGGGAGCGTGCTGGGAGAGGCTTAGGGGTGCACAAGGACAGGAAAGAGGTAACTAGCAGAAGTCAGAGCAAGGGAAATTCTGACCAGGAATTAGGAAAAATTATTTACCTCATTCACCATGAGGGTGGTGAAATATTGGCAGAGGGGTCCTAGGAGGTTGTGGCCCTCTCAAGGTGAGATCCCTCCAGATGAGGAGGTCTGTATGTCCTCTCCTTGAGAGTAACCACACTTAACAGATTACCTAGATATTAATATCTATACTTGTAACATTAAAGTATACACATATTTACAAGTATGGTTGAAACTTTGAGTGCTTATAAAACACACAAGAAAAGATGGATCAACAGAGTACATTTTTTTTGCCATGGAAAAATCATGTTTTAAAAATAAATATTTATGTACTATTGTATGGGAGGTATTTTAAAGCATCTTGAATTTTTCACATGGTGGAAACACTGCATATACATAAAATACGTAGTCATGTATCAAGTTGATGAAAAAGTTCTTGTTAGGAGGAAGCTGATCAGATAATTTTAGAAATGTATAACAAGTGTTTCTGTTATTAAAAATGTGCATCTGTGAACACAGACTGTCAAAGAAAATGGAATATTCAGTGAGTCTTTTCAGAAGAAAGTCAGCAAATAGCATTGAAACATGCAATAGATATGTGAAGATATTAGTTTCCAGTCTTCAGATGATTGTTTAGCTCAAAAGTTAAACAGATGTGACTATGACATCTCTCATTCTGTTTCTAATCAATCTCTAAATATATATATGAGATCAAGCTGTGTTTGTGTACAGAGCCAATTTCAGAAATTGTTGTGAACTGCCTCGTGTAAAACCTATCTGATAGTGTCTGTGAGTGTGCGTGTGTGTGACATGTCTTAGATTCAAACATGTATTCTTAATTATCCTATACCTTTATGAGGTTACACAATGGTCTTCTGCAGCTACAGGAATTTTTAACTTAGCACTACAACCTATAGCCCTCAATTTAACAACTACAATATTCCTGCTGATTGTGCAAATTATATTGGTGATGAAAATCAAACACTTTTTGTTAGCTAGCCTCCTGATGGCAATGAAGAAATACAAGTCAATCAGACCTTGAATTATTCTAATTCAGAAAAAGTTAGGAAAATGTGAATGCTTCCAAGATCTACTGCTCAGTCATGATTCTGCAGTCATAGAAGGGTTTGCAAATCCTTGCTGAACTCTGCAATTCACAGACTAAAAGGGACTTTATAGCCCATTAAATGTGATTTAGCCATTATTATTAAAAAGCAACAAGGTTTGTATTGACATGATAGTATATGGACCCAGAAATTCCCTGGGTTTGTCTGGGCCTAAATAGATTTTAACTTGGTTTAGTTGTGATAGCAATTGTTCAGCTGTGAGGCTCTCTTGACTAAATTTTAGTTTAACTCTAGTTTATGGTAATAACAAATGGTTATTCATTGTGGACTGAAATGCCTACAGCTCTAGAGTCAGCTGTGGGAAAGAGCGCAGATGCAGATGACACAAATAAGTCATTTAATCACAGTAAGCTGACAGTGTTAAGAAAACATAAAACTAATTCAGACACCAGACTGAGGAGAAAGACATCCCCTTCCCATGAGTATCACGCTCCTCCTGGTGATAACTCATTGTAGTACTCCCCCATTCCTTTTGAGAGATACCAAAGTGTCAGTCTTAAGACCCAAAGGAACACTGGAGGAATAAGCACAAAGCCAGAGAATAGGGAACTTTTTATGTAGCAATTTTACCCCTATTTTTAATGAGGTCTTCCACTATTCATTAAGTAATTTTGATTATTATACTGTTTAAAATAGTAATTGGACTACCAATAAATTCTTACATTCATTTATATATTGTGCCTTTTGTCAATACCTTTCTGTAGGCTCCGAGTGTAATACCACATTATAACATTGCTAACATCTTTAAGGACCTGGAACCTGAAACAAATACCATGAAGATCACTGAAGCTCACAAGCACTTTGGCCAGTTGCAGTCAATGCTGCTGTGCTCTATTTTCTCATGGACAAGCTGAATGAAATCAGTCCAGTGAATCAGCTTTCATTCAAGGTTACCACTCAGGAAGAGGTCAGTGTGTTTGCGTACTGCTGTTTTAATCTAGTTCTACCACTGGCTCACCACTTTCCCTCTGGTCACAGGCTGCATTTCACAAGGCAGTGCAGTGAGCAAAACCCTCTGATAACGAGGCTCAGTGTAAAGATCCCAACTGCCTGCACGACACCCTCCACTATCATTTACACTGCTCTGTTTGAAAGGGTAAAGCTTACTTTCCAGCCCAGTTAGCTCTCCCAGTACAGCATGACCCCTGCTTGGGCTCTCATTTACAGTTTTGTGTATGTACACCTGTACGTGTGGCCTGGCAGCCCACAGAGCAGTCCTTTGCCTTATGACTTTGAGGCCTCCCTTCCGTACCTTCCTGCTTCACCACAGTAAGAGGGAATATGGACGAGTTCATGTACTTCTGCTTGGGTCTCCTTGCTGTAGCTTGAGCTGTTCATGCTACCAACTGGCTCTGCCAGGCCACTGGAAAACTCCCTCCTCAGGCAAGAACGTCAGCCTGAAATGCTTCCTACAAACTGTGTTTGCTCTGAGCCAGTCCAGGCTGCTTTCTTATTAAGGACAGAAAAGCATGATGGCTTCACAGACATTGCTGTGGCCGCAGAGGGGGGCACCTCTGCAGGGGTAGCCAGTTTTCTTACTCTCCACTTTCCATCCTCATCTCAAACACTGGGAAACGCATCTACTTTCAAAGTAGCTCTTCATGTCCCAAGTGCTGCTGCCACATGTATATATTCCTCTTAGAACGAGCTGAATGGAAAGAGTATTGTATAACGATCTCTCATTTAGCTTAAAATGTTATCTTTTCCTTCACTGCTTTTTGTCTGCGAGAAGTATGCTGAGTCTTATGCAGCTGTGTTCTTGCTCTTATTTGGCATAGATCTCTTCTAAGTTTTGCACCCATACCAAGAGTTTCCTACTTCCCTTTGAAAAGAGCCAGAAATGGGTACAGAGCAGAGGAGCCCAAAGCCTATGTGGATCTGAGCCACAACTATGATGAAAATATTAACCTGATAAAAGAGGTTTCTTCAGCTTCTAGTGCATGTGCTGTGAGCTGGAAAGTAAAAATCACAAATGGAGAAGAGAAAGGGAAGACAGAGAAATTCAAATTCAGCTGCTGACTCTACTTGTTTTCAGAGCACAGAATATCTACAGTACTGAAACATAAATCAGCCAACCAGTGAATTCCTGTTGAGTCTCCTCAAGGTCATCTGGAAGTCACCTACAAGCATCTCACACGAGGACATGCGCAATGGCTGACTTCAGCAAGGTGCCAAACACCCACTCTGCCTGAGGCTGGGATGCTCAGAATGCTCACCACCACGCATGGCTGGGCCCTGCCTTTATTTGATACATTTCTGATTGAGCTGTGTAAACAAGACACAGTTCTGTCTAAAAAAAACCACTCTATATTAATTATTTAGAAATTAACAGGTGTTAAACCAATTGCCATTATTGCACTGCCAACCTTTAGAACAGATCTAGCATTAAATCATGGATATCTATAGGGAATTCCCTTGGATCATTTGATCAAATTATGCTCTTAAAAGTACACTTCAAAAATGTCATCCTGGTGTAGGAGGAACAGAAAGAAAATAAGGCAATGAAATTAATGGAAATTTAGAGAAATGAAATGTTGTCTCATGTATTTTGACAATGTAGGCATCAGTAGGTTTGCCAGACAGATCAGCTTCAGATTTGACTTGAGCAAATTAAGGTAATCTAAAGCACAAGCTACTTGCTAGTCATTTTTCTGGGTTTTGCCTCTTGAACCATTTTACAAGTTTATTTACATTATAACAGCACTGGCCATGCTTCTCCCATGTTTGAAGTCATTCCCCAGCCTTTGGGAAGAAAGCTGGCTCTTGACAACATGGCCAATTTCTGGCCACAGAGGTGTTTCAAGTAACAAGGTGGGCAGGCAGGAACAGCAAAAGGGGAAAAGCTGTGAGGATAAAGACTGCTAAAACAGTCAGGTATAGATAGCAAGAGGAAAGAGCCCTGAAATGCCTGAAGGGCTCCGACAGAGAAATCCCACTGCACCAATTGTTTAATTGTTACCCTGCTTTGCAAACAGCACTGTGTAGGCACCTTTACTTTGCTGGCATCTGCTGCTGCACCCCATTTCTTTCAACAGTAAGACATCAGGCACAACTAGGCATAACTGAAGGATCCAGATGGTCTTTGGCACCTGCAGTGAGTTAGGAAGAAAAGATGTTTTCATTGTTTTTTCGGATCTTTGTCATAGTTTAACCCCAGCCAGCAACTAAGCAGAGCACAGCCATTCACCCACTCCCCCACGGCAGGATGGAGGGAAGAGAACTGGAAGGGTAAAGGAGAGAAACTCATGGGTTGAAATACAGCAGCTGAATAATAATAACACCACCACCAATAAAAAAAAAAAAAAAGGAGAGAAATAAAACCCAAGACAAAGCAATGCAAATAAAAAACAATTGCTTACCACCAACAAGCCAATGCCCACCCAGTCCATGAGCCACAGTCCCCGAACTGCAGTCTCCAGCCAACTTCCGTCTCTAGTTTATACTGAGCATGACGCCTCATGGTATGGAATATCCCTTTGGTCAGTTGGGGTCAACTGTCCCAGCTGTGTCTCCTCTCAACATTTGTGCACCCCCAGCCTCCTCACTGGTGGGGTGGTGTGAGCAGCAGAAAACGTCTTGACTCTCTGTGTGAGCACTGCTCACTAATAATTAAAACATCCCTGAATTATCAACAGTGTTTCCAGCACAAATCCAAAACACAGCCCCATACTAAATGCTATGAAGAAATACCTCAGCCAAAACCAACATAATCTTAAACTGAATTTGCTGGACTGGGGGGTGTTTGGTGGTGTTGGGCTTTTTGCTTGCGAATGTGACAAATTTGAGTGAAGCCTAAGAACATTTTTACGGATTACTTCGAAACAGGCTTATACTTTATACTGTCTAGCCTCACACGACATGCTGTGACTTGATTTTGCATTATTATGATGATTTAATACAACACTGAGTAATAGAGATTGTAGTGAATTCAGGTTGGAGAATCTAAACATCAGTCCTCTCGTTTGATTTTCCTAAATCTCTTTCTGATCTAAGCACCTAAATATCCTCAGTCTGGTCATGATCCATACCTTGACCATATGGTCCTCTACCAGAGAACAGAATAATTCTAGGCCATTAAGGCACTTGCCCATATCCATTTCATCTGCAAGATCTTCAGAGGTGCAAACAAAACACTGGATGGGAAGATTTGCTAATGCTGATAGTACATTAGATCACTGGATAATCTTTTTCCTGTGTTAGTTATTACTGAATGGAAATCAAATGCATGCATGTTAGAACTAGTAACAGATGGCACTTCTGTTCTGTGAGGAAGAAATAGGGGCAAAGGGGCAGCAAAGTTGAACCTCCCCCCTTCCCGGTCTTACCAGGATTCATTGTGTTGCCCTCCTGTTACAGTTGGCTGTGACTCTTTCTTGTTATAAAGAGATGTCAGAAGTTAGAGGGAGACAGATGATAACCTTAAATCCTTTACTGCATTTTACCAGGATTCTGAAAAATAAAAAATAAAAAAATAAAAGCCAGCTGAGGGAGTTGGAAAATGTCAGTGAGGCATTACACAAAGAACTTGATACATTTGTTGACCTTTCTTCTTCCTCCACCCTTCTCCTCTAAGATGGATTTAGTAGTAGTGAGTGCTTAGTGCTTTAAGTGCTTTCTTAAAAATAATTTAGATGCTATTGTCTGTCTGCCTGCTACTTGGAAAACATAGCTGTTTCAATGAGCCCCTGCTGAAATGGAAGAAAGAGGGTTTATTGAAATGCCTCCAAAAATGCACCAAAATTTCATTCTTTTCCTTGTCAGCTGAAACCCATCTTGTTCTTGCCTTTACAGTCTTTTGTTTTATTTTTTTAATTGTACCATTGTATTGAGGGTCTTTTCATTCTTTTCCGCTATTTTACGAATGGCATGTGTGGTATTAAGAGCTGAAGGCAGAGATGAGAGGAGAAGTGTTTTGAACTGACTAATTTGCAGGCAAGAAATAAAGCTCTTGTAAGGTGGTCCCAGGGGTATCTTTGCCATGAACACTATTTGAAATGACATGTAATCTGGTACATTTCAAAGGCAAAACATTTCCTATTCTAAAGTATCTTCCTGAGCCAGGGTTGGTTTACCTGTTTCCAGAGAATAATAAACTCCACTGGGACCAAGGGAACTCCTTCTCTCCCCTCTCAAAATTCCTGTTCTTTTTCAAAGGGGCAATTGCAGCCAACAGTTTATTTCTGTCCTATCTTTTTCTGCTCTAGTGGCTCAGTGCTCCCTACTAATACATAGCTGAATGCACCTCTGGATTCACACAGCACATCCGTGTACAAAGAGAGAAATAATGGTGTGGAGCTCTCTTGTTTCTTTTAACAGTGGAAAATTTCGATCTGGTTCTAACAGACTTCTAAAATTTTAAGCATTTTGCCGTATGACTTTGATCTGGCAATTTCTTAAGAGAAACTGTTTCTCTTCTAGAGAAATCTGAGCTCAGCTGACCTTGGAATGCTGTATTAATACTCTTTCTCAGCACAATTCAGTGTTTCTAGCCTTGTTGACATACTAAAAGGCTTACACACAAAAGTCCACATTTAATTTGTCAAAGTAGACATTTCAAAAAAGCCTTATGTTAAAACTTTGTCCATATTTTGGTGAAAGCTTAGCTGGTCTTCTAAGCTGGGACACTTAATCATCATCTGTGAATGTATTCATATACTCTGAGGAATGTTTCTATATGTTCATGATTTAAACTTATGATATCCAGAATCTGTATTGCATGGTTTTAAAAGATTTTAAAATACTTTAAATGGGAGATCTGGGCCACAAGTAAAACCCAAAGCTTTAGAGAAAATAAACACTGATAAATATTACAAACATTTTCTATTAATTTCACAGCTGTTCTATCCTAAAGCTTTTAGTTACAGAAAAACAAACTGATGCTTTGGGAACTCTGTGAACTTACACTGACTACTGTTTCAATGTTTACTTGATTTTCTCTCTAATTCTCCATGAAGAGAAATCAGGTATAGTGTGTCTATAATAATGATCCTACAAACCGGGGTTTTTTAAAATAAAATCTTCAGTTACACTGGTTTTCAAAATCCACATGCTTGTGCTCAAATGTGCTCTACACAGTATTTTTTCAAGTGTGGACAATGATGAATAAATTATGCTACTTGAACAGAGATACTGAAGGCCCCCGGAAAGGACAAGTGAAAGAGATGGAGTTCGAATATCCAGAAAAGAGACATTTCTAAAAGAATGAAAAGCAAAAAGTTCTCTCCTGAAACCAATAATTATGTTAGACAGCAGACTGTCTGGGATGACTTGTGCTGTCAGTTTGCATTACAAGCCTCAGCCCTTTGAAGGACAGATTTTGCACTGTGAGTGACCCTAACGTGTGTTATACTTGGATCTCTACCAAGTAGAAGTCATAATAAAATACTATGCCCCACAGAATAGGTCTTACACCTTACCTGTTGTTTTTCACAACAGTCTGTCAACTGTAATTCTTAATTTATGGGAACTTTGCCCAAATGTAACTTGGAGCAAAATGTGTCCAGTGTTCACAAAAACTTCCAAAGAAGTTAGTGCTGTTCCCCAGTAGTGTTTATCTCCTGGAGTGGTTCCTTATCGATTCTGAACCATTAGATTCCTCTGGACTATATATAGATGCTATTACTAACAATCATGAGAACACACAGCATTTACCATAAATGTCTACCAAGTTAGTTAGCAATACCACTGGTTTTAGAAATTCTATCAAAACCAGAGAAATAAACAAGGCCTTTGTCACATGATAACACACAGATGGCATTACATCTCTAACACTTAGTATCTGAGGAAAGTTACAGTGCTTTGACTCAGCTGCCTGGGTGACTGCTGGTTGCTTTCTGAAATCAGAGGTAGCTTGCCTGCTGTTCTGTATTTTACTAGTGCAAGTCATCAACCTTGCACAACTATACTTGAGTGATAGATTTGACCCTACTGAAAACCTGCTAACCCTCCTCTGACCAAACTACCTCCTAATGCCAATGTAAGGACTTCTGCTTAGCCCCTTTCATTACCCTTGTGTAATGTCACCTTTAATGAGACATTAATTTCCTTTTTTTTTCTTTAGATAAATTTCTAACATATCTACTTCAGTGTGCTTTGAAATATTTTTATAGGCAATATGTAGGGAATCCATTAGCAGGAATCAATTGTCTCACTTCTGCATTGCTTTTCAGACACAGGGGCATTTTGCTAATACAAAATACTTGGCCATAGAGCAGTACAACATACTAGCTCAGCTGATTTATTGAAACTATATTTTTGAGGGCTGGGTTTTTTCCTTTGGTGACTCATGTAATGTGGTGCCATTTAAACAGTGTGTGTAGAACACATGAACACTTCATTATTTGGCTCAAAGTAGTACAGTATATTGTTCTGTTTAGGGAACAAGTTTGAATTTACCATTGACTCCGGAGAACTTCACAATGTATCGTTGGGTCAAGGACAGGAAGCTGCAGCAGAAATAGCTATGGAAAAGGCATCAAAAGAAGGCCACTGGGTTATACTTCAAGTAAGTCAAAGCTCTTCATTACATCAGTGCTGCACTGCAGTGTTAAAAACTGAAGCTTTTCAAAATAGCATGTGCCTAGATGAAAGAGTACTAAATAGTGATTTAAAACTTCCTTTGTCTTTGCCACAAGGGAAGCACATAACTTCATCTGTATATGCAAGTATCACTGCATATCACATAAAATATGAATTGTGTGTAGGGAGTCAACTAACATATTTTCCCAAGCACACGGTATCTGATTTACTAATTTATTATCCATTAAAAAAAAATCCTTTAGTAAATAAATGTGTAGCAAAAAGAATTGTTACGCTGTATAATCAGATGAATAGATACAAACAGGGAAGATTGCTGTCATTATGCAGTGTATTGTGCTAAACAGATGCACGCGATTTTTTTCAAATATTGTGCAATATGAAACTGCTTCCTTATGTCTGGTTTTTCTTGTATCAATAAAACGTTTCAAATTTCAAATCAATAGCTCACTGGGAGGCCTATTTTTTCCTTCCTTCTCCCCCCTCTCCCTCCCCATCTCTGAATATTTATTTTGTAGTAAAGTGGCTGAACACATTAGAGAAATTACTGAAGAAAACCAGGGAAGGAAGTCAGCAGGGTGATCGGTTTTGAGTGTGAGGAACCTGCCACTTCCCCTAAAGCATATCTCATTCCAGGGTGGATTTGGGAAACCTCACATTAAAAAAACTGATAAACTACAAGCAGTAATGATGCCTGATCACCATGCTGCACTGGATAAATTTGACTAGGCAAGCAAAACACCATAGAAATAAAACTTTAAAAATGTGAGCATTGAACTTTTCCTTTTAAAGCCACTTGAAACGGTGAAGTCACTAAAAGCCTTTACAGGGTATGCAGTAATAAAGCAGGATGCATTTAATTTCTTAAAGATTTGTTCACATATCCTACAATGACTGCACATCTATCAGCAAAAAGAAAAAAAAATCAAACAAGAAACTACTTTTCATTTTAAAGCATCACATACAGTTTCTAGTTAAGTACATGCCTGTGCACGTAGGAATGAAAAATTTGCAGTCACTACAGTTAATTACTGTACAGAATAAGAATTTTTTTGGTTTTGTCTAGCTTAGTTTGATTTATCTTGAAATGTGAAACCATGCGGTTTTGTGTCTCTGCAATATTTTTTACATATTCTGAGCATGTAGTGCACAGAATTAGGTCTTCAGCTGAGGTAAATCAGTGAGGTTCACTACACCAATTTATATTGCTAAGGGTTTGGTCCAAAACGTTTGCAATAGTACATAAGAAGAAAGCATGGTTTTGACTGCTAGGTTATGATATTTTCCTCCATCCTTTTTAATCATTGTTTTGGAAGGCTTTTAATTAAAATAATTTCTGTAACTGACTCTTAAAACATAGGTGTATATAGGTAGTAATCATAAGCTATGATCAAAGATATGGTCAAAGAAATCAAGTATCTCTTTGGAATACGTATCTGTACTAAAGAAAGAGCATCAACCTGAATGCTAAGAAACTCTCCAATTACAAAAAAAAAAAAAAAAAAAAGAAAAAAAAAAAAATTGCTTTTCGACAGTATATTCTAAAAAACCTCTGTGAAAATTATAAAGGCTTTTCGTCTTTCCCTCTTGTTTAGAATAACCTCTTCCAGGAATAAAGATGGGAAGAACGGCCAGCCACCCGCGCAGCGGAGGGAATGTCACCCAAAGTGCTGACAGACATACGCACAAAGAAAACCGCGGCTGCAGCCACGGCGACCACACGTTTGTCGCCAACTTCTGCCGGCGGCAGTGGCTCCGCCGGCCCCGCAGCCCATCGGCCCCGCCGAGGGCCCGGCCCCTCGGCCCGCGGGGCGCCGCCTTCCCCGCGCCCGCCCAGGTGCGCTCGGGGTGCCGGACCGTCCCCCCCCCGGCCGGCGGCTCTGCCCGAGAGGTCGTCACCTCCTCGCTCCCCGCGGTACCTGCCGGGCGCCGCAGGCAGCCGCCCGTGCCCCTGCCCTGCCCCGGGGCGCGGGGGGCCGGGGCCGGGACGCGTCCGGGTCAGCGGCGGCGCGTTCCCGGAGCCAGAGCGCCCCCTGCCGGCGGCCGCTCCGGCGGTGCCGCGGGCCGTGGGAGGCGCGGGCGGGGGAAGTGGCTGTGGCTGTGCCCGGCCCCGGCGGAGGGAGCACCCGGGGAGAGCGTGTGCCCCCCGGGCCTGACCCCGGGCAGCGCTGCCGGGGTGTGACGGCAGCCCCGACCTCCGGGAGAGGTTTCCCTCTCGCAGACGCTCGTGTTAACGCTGGAGTGGGGGCGTACGGGATTCCCCAGGCAGGGCCGCACCCCCGGCACCCCGCTGCCAACACTCAGGTGCCGGCGGGAGAGCTTGTAGCCCGCCCCCGGCCCGGAGCCTCCCGCCCGGGCGCCTGCCTGTGTGAGCCCGGTCATTTCCAGCGCAGGAGCCAGCGCGGCTGGATCGGTTTCAGCAAACCCGAGGCGCATCCTGCACTTCCTCCCGCAGTTTCCACCGGGGAACAGGGCTGTGACATGAGCAGGAGCCAGCCCCGCAGAGGTCACAGCCCTGCGGGGCTGGGGCGACCCGGCCGACCGCAACCCCGGGATCCGCCCGCCGAGCCGGGGTTCGTTCCTGCAGGAAGCAAACACGGGCATGAACGGGCACGCTCTGCTACTCGTTTAAATGGCCACAAGCACACGGCTCTTCCTGAGGAATTACATTTTAAACAGACTTGGCCGTTTAATAAACCAGCCCCTGGCTCCCTGCAGCGGTGACCTCTGATCCCTTAGCAATGCAATGATTCCTTGCAGTGCTGTGCCCGCAGGGCTGGGGCCGAGCGGCGATAATGACCGAGGGGCCGCGGGCGACAAAATTATTCGGTAAGAGGGAGGCAGAAAAGCCCTCTCCCTTCCACCTCTATGGGGCATTTGGTGATTATCGCCGCCTGTGGCGGTGGCCATGCCTGGCGGACGGAGGGACCCTCACTGAACTCGGGGTTTGTCAGATGGTGATGGTGGCAGGTGGCAGGACAGCCCCTTCCCAGCCCATGCACGCCAAGGGCGGCTGACAGGGGTGGCTCACAGCCCCTATCCTCACTTAACACATTTGCCATCTCACCTCCTCCCCCGCAGCCCCGAGCAAGGCAGGTGTAGGAAGCTCCCAGCGCCACATACGCACCCTGTCCCTGGGATAGAGGCGCGCCGAAGAGGGAGACGGGAGTGCATCAGGCCCTGTGCACACAAGGCAGCAAGCCTTGGGCTCCCATATCTCTCTCCTCCCCAGGCGCCGGTGCCCCCAGCTCACCTGCAAGCCTCGCACCATCCGGCCGTGGCTCTCCGTCCCCGGCTGCCAGGAGCCTCCCACTGCGAGGAGTAAGGAGAAGCATCAGAGGAGACATGAGGAACGAAAGGACGAGATCAGAAAAAGGAATAAAAGAAGGAGATGTAGCGAACACTAAAAACAAGAGGAGGAATTTTCCCGGGGTGGGGGGAGAGGGAAGTGCCACTTACACGAGCTTTTTTTCCCCCTACAATGTCTGCAAAAATTCTGACAATGCACGTGCTCGTTTTCCCTTTCCCATCCCACACAAACCTGTTGTTGTTTTACTTTCATTATTTCACTTTGTTGCATCAGAAATGCTGAATCATAAAAGGGGGGTTAGTGAAAATGGTATTTATCTTTAAAGGAATAAGCCCCACATTATTTTAAAGATCCCCACGCTACTGCTGTTATTATTATTATTATTATCATCATCATGCATCTTGGCAGGTTGAAAGGTATCTCAGAACAGTAAGAATTCAGCAGTAATTTAACATCCCACAGAAGTACTTTAAAAGCATCAAATAGCATTTTGAATTTTAAGTCAGTACAAGTGTAAATAAATGGATGTACTCCCACATGTCTGTTGTTTTTAAACTTGTGGTGATACTAAAATATTTGCCTAACAGCTTGGAGTTGCAGCAGAATTTCAGCTCATATATACAAATGTGTGTGATATTGAATTAAAGCATTTGTCATTCTTTTTCCATAAAAGACACAATTTGGTTCTCAGCAAACCATTTGAAATAGAAATTATGGTGATGATACCACAGCTCCATTTTATTTTATGGTACTCTATTGATTTTCAAATAGACAATACATGTATTTTTGTAATGGTCTAAAAGAAGATATTCTGCCTTTTTATTTTACAGTCCTTATGCTATTACCCGCTTTCATTTCAATAAAGGATGGCATTTTTCAGAGATGCTACCATAAATTGCTTCATTTAATAAGTTGCTACACAGAATAATAATGTTACACCAGAGAGCAGCACTTTGTAATTTGCAAGAAATAATATTTTTCTTTTAAAATATTTCTGTCTCTTTATTTTTTAAATTAAAATTATCTTTTTGCTGTTTTCTTTCAGAAGGATAATCTGATTATTAGAAAATTCTTTTTTCTTTTTCTTGCAAGCATTGGAACTTGGATGTGACATAAAGAGGCTAATTAAAATGGGGAACAAATTAGATTAATTTCCATGGATATAAAAGTGATATAAAAGTCTTGTTCTCAACAGTGACTCCATAATAGAACAATTTCATTTATGCCTAAGCAGGTCCTTATTCTGTCTAGTGAGGATTGCCACCAGTGTCTTACTGACAAGGTTTTTATTATTTCTTTGACAGTTTGATAGTAAGTCAGTGCTTGCTTCTGGGTTTTCAGTCTCTTAAAACCTGGATTATGAAGGCTACTATAAAAATATGGATAAAATGCTACCTCCCCAGAGCCCCATCCGTTATAGCCTGCACCCCAATGTGGAGATTGCTTTTGTAATAACTGCAAACAACATGCTCCATATGCTATTAGAGCTGCAATTCAAATACTCAGTCACTGGGAAAGGAGTCTCCCAAGCTGTAGAAGACAAGGTCAGTCAAAACATAGAGCAGGCTGCAAATTTGTCACAAGATGGTGTGATGTCAGTGGTTTTATGTTTAGGGGCTTTTTTCTCTCCCGTGGCCTTTTTTCTCTCTAATTCAATAGAATTAGACATTTTCATACCTGTTTTTTACAGGGATTCAATCTGAAATTTGCAATGAGGGATCTCTAGTATACGTGAGCCATAAATATATGCATTATTTTGCACCACAAAGAAAAAAGATCTTGCTAGACTGTTACAATATATTAATAGTGTTAGGCCATTTAGGATCCTTTGTCAGGTTGCAAAATGCCATTATTTCCAAACTATAAGGCAGAATTTGCTTTTCTTCCTAACAGCATGGTCCTGCACAAGTCTTCCGCTCCTTCTCTATTTCACAGGATAAATGCTCCACATCCTTCATACTGTGACATGAAGGCAGCAGAAGTGCTTTCACTACATAAAGATACACAATGTTTATAATTTCCTTTACATTTGTGCAGAAGTGGATACACAAGACACTTGCCTCATGCAATGTGGTATCTCTTGAGGATGAAGGCAGAGCTAGATGACATAGAGAAAAAAAAAAATCTTTCGGAAGAAAGTGAGATCAGCTATTTAATCCAAACACCAGAAGAATGCTACTCACATAAGCTGATTTGTTTTCCAGAATATGAGACTGGATCTGCTCATATATGAGGTAAGGCATTCTCTTCAAGAACTTAATTTAGGTTTGAAGACATGTGTGCTTTGCTTTACTAATCTCAGGGGATGCATGGGTTTAAACAGCATGAGTGTAGATGCCTGTAACAGGCATTGTGAGTGATACTTGGTGAGCTTATTTCTGATTTCATTGATTAAAAAGTTGTGCTTTCATAAGCTGCCTACTCCAAACATATAACTCATCTCCATATATCAAATGATTTGTTTTAATTTGTGTGAAAAAAATTAGCATGAAACTGCTGAGAAAACTGAAATCCTCTATTTCTCTGCGTACTAGGAAGCAAAATGCAAAGCCCTTGATTATGGTCTGACTACTGTTCCAGTGCAGACGTGGAGGTAAGGTTGGGACATTCTTCTTTTCTGCCATTGCAGAAATTTGGCTCTTCTGTTTACAACTGCTAGTTACGATGTGTGTTCACATGTGTTTTGGGCAATCCATAGGAGAGAAGGGAGCTGTTTGATGCTTTAGAGACCCTCTGGTGCTGAAAACGAACTCTGCTTCATATAGATCCTCGCTGGATAAGGCACACAGTCCACATTGTGTTAAATGCCATCAGTATGTGGCATTTGGCTGTCATTTGGAGATCACCATTAACTGCAGGTAAAGGTGCAGTATCAGTAACACCCAAGTCCTGATCTCACTGTGCATCTATTGAGTGCGATGAATGAGGTAAGAGGGACATGGGGAACTCATTGCATATCTTTGGCAGTTTTTGGTAATAATATGTCTCTCAACATCAACGAAGTGCTGATTAGCAACATGTAACATTCTTAACCAGAGACAGTCAAATTTTCATAATATCTAGAAATCTCAAACAGTGATGTACCTGCTGCACTAACATTTAATATATGTTCAACCATGGAATTGGGCAACCAAGTAGCTTGCTAGCATTTTACACAGACAGTTGTGGTATATGCATGCAGAGCTGTAGTTAATGTATACCACACCAAAACTAGGTACTGAAAATCTAATTCATAGGGCTAGTAATTTTAAGGGACCTCCTTTTTCACCACCTGAAAAATTACCTTTCTTTCGATCTTTAATTCAGAGTAACAAAACATGGGCATTCAAATAGCCATTAGTGCAAGCAAGCCAGCAGAATAGTAGCTTGATTGCATGTACAATTTTCTGTGGGATATCTGTAAGCAAGTTAGTAATTTGGCCCTTTATCATTTTCTCCCTGTACATATGCGTAGGTGGGTGCTTCCATGCGTACGTATATGAATTACTATATCATATAATTACTTAATGCAATTAGAGTGATTCTAAGAAATACAGAAAACCCAGAACCTACACTCTTGTTTTTCTAACTGTTTCCCCTTTTTAAAAAATAAATTACTCACCCCAGTTGCAAGAGCCAAAATATTCTTTACACTTGATGATTTAGCTACCTTATGTGTTTTTACTGGGGAAAAAAAAGCCCTCTATCATTTATCATGTCATCTTATCACAGTCTCTTTGTGAGACGCAAATAGCACACTAATGTTTTCTTTTGTTAGGGTGAGTTGGCAATCTCCTCAGAGATGGAGCAACTACAGACAGCTCTTTTTTTTGATAATCTTCCTGACACTTGGATGAGACTGGCTTATCCATCAACATACAGTTGCTCAGTGGTAAGTTGCATGCCAACAGTCATTCAGTATGGATGGCACTTCATGTCCATCATAAAAAAATAGAATTCAAACTAAAGAATTTTTTTGGCAAATATCTTACCTTCTTGTGTAACTCAGAATAGCTTTTTATCATAAACTGATATTACCAGTGTTATGAAAAGCAGAAAGAGCCTTGCATTTACCTTGCCAATTACTGCAGGCTTTGAAAGATTTCTCTAGAATTTGCATTCCCACTCCTTCCTTGCTTGCTTTTGTCTCGAGCTGTGTGCGTTGATCAAATAGATTTGACAAGTGCTGTAGTGCATAGTATCTCCTACTAAGAAGACCAAGTGTCTTTTGTGTCTTGTGTCTTTTGGATCAGAATTTGTAACAATAGAACGGTACTGCTCTAAGCTCAAGGGTGAAATGGTCATCAGAAGAAGTAGCAATTAACAAAGCAGCTTGCATTAACAACATAGAAAAGTTTCAGAGCAAGTAGTGGGGCCATCATTTTTCTGTTCATCTTAATTGAACCTATCTTAAGATGTGTCCCTCTACCTAGTCTACACAACTGTTTTGTAATACCAAAAATGAAACCGTAAACAAGAAGTGAAAGCCATCCAATGCTGGCAGATTATTTACTTGCTGGCACACATTCAACTCTCCACAGGAGTCTCCTGAGTAAGGCAAAGAGCCACTGACTGATGGAGTGAATGAGGACTGGAGAGCTGACCAAAGGACAGGAAAGCTCTGCCAAGCACAAAGACAGGTAGCACTAGAAGGCAAAACAAGCCCACTCTTCTGAGATCAGTACAGACTTCTGAGAGATCAAAAGTGGAAGAAGAAATCTTGTTCATCAGAAGACACATTGAGAAGAGCATCAGAGGTACATTTTAGTGAAGATCAATCATAGCTTTACAGAATTAAATGCTCTTTTAGCTTCACTTGATGGAAAACTAAACCACCATAGAGATACTGTGATGTCTGTGATAAATATATGTCCTGAAGACAGAAGCGTTGCCTAGGGGATATAATGCAGTAATGCTAAATTACAAGCTGTTTTCCTGAAGGACGACACAGCTGCTTTCTTTAAAAAAATGTATGGGGGAATCGAGCTGGACCTTATACTCATGTTTGGACAAAAGAGGGTAAAAGTACCCACTGATTATATAAAAGCTGTCTCGAAGAACTAGTAGGATTTAAGGTGACAGGTTATCTTTTACCATCAGGTGCAAAATGCAGTGAGTCACCAGAGAGCAAAATCATTGCTGTGACACTGTGCTATGCAGCTGGGCTCCAAAACAGCCACCCTGCTGGAACAGAGCATGTATGGGGATGGACTGCAGAACAGGTGAAAGGGAGGTCTGCCATGAGCACCAGAGGGGTTATGCATGGACATGACTAGTGGTCAGCTTTGCCTGGCCATCAGTCCCTTGGGTTTGGGGAGATGAAAAAAAAAAACCACAAAAACCAGACTGAAAACAAAACTTGAATCATTGTCTTGTCTAAAACCCCACAGTAATTGTTGTCTGGAGCAGGAGCCATGAGCTTCCTTCAGGGAAGAACATCCTCTCTATACCACTCTGTTATGCACGCTGCAAAGCACAAGAAGGCCTCAGTCATCATGATAGTTTTATCCTCCCCATTTTTAAACCCCTCCATCTCATATACCTACCTGACATGCCACCATCTGAGCCATCAGAAAAAACCCCTTTGATTTCTAATCAGTTGCCATTTCAAAGTAAGGTGGGACAGGGTGAGGAGGTAAATGGAAAAAATCTGAATACGTGCACAGTTTAAGCATCTTGGGCTCAGCAACTGTGTCATAAACAGCAAACACAAGTGATTAAATGACAGAGATTATGTCAGATCACCTAATAATCTCAGATCTTCAGTTTATCTTCAGGATCCTTTTCTATGTCTCTGAAATGAACATGAATTCTGTTAACGCTTCCCTTTATAAAGTCACCCTTTATGTCACCCAGTGTTTCATGTTTCTGTGGAGGAGTCGCCTCTTGCCCCTGAGCCAGCAGTCTCCTGTCTCTGGCTTAGAGACAGTCAACTATCCCCAAGGCAGGTATGTCTAGCATTTCTTAACAGCAGCTTGTTAGGAAGGAAGAAGCAATACCAAATACTGCCAAAAAAAAAAAAAAAAAGACCTCAGCGAGAAAGGTGGGAATGTGATGCCAGCAATGTTAAATGGGGTAAAAGGAAAAAAACCAAGTTGATAAGTTGATGCTTTGTTTTTCAAGCCATAGAAATTCAAAGAAAAATACAACATATAGGGAAATAGAGTGTGGATGGAAGAGAAATATTGGAAACTTGTGTGACAGGTCATCCAGCTTTCTGGAAATCCACAAAAGACCAACAGTGGGATGCCTTAACAGAGGCAAAAATGTTTGGGTTCTGGGCTGTGACTGCATTGACAGGCAATAGCTGGAGCAGGCTGAGGTGACAGCAGCCGTAAATGAGCATTTGAAAGGAGACATTATATGTAGACTGGATGAAGTGCAGGGGCATATAAGGAGTGGAGGGGGGCAGGAAGGGGGGGCAGGAAACCACAAAATGTAGGAGCTGCCAGAAGAGGGGATGTTCATTCCCTCTTTGGAAGATATTCATGATAGACAGATACAGGCTAAGAAACTATTCCCTGAAAACTCAGGGTTATGGCACTGACTCCCTTGCAGGCTAGAAAAATACATGCTTGAAAGGAAAAGGCCTTCAGGGTAGGAGTGTTTGTTATTTGGGGTTTTAAACTGACAGAATCTGCTGCTGACTTGTAAGGTGGGGAGGTATTAACTCCTGAGAAGGAGGAACAAAAGGCAGGGATTTCTGTAAGAAAAGACAAGGAGCATTGCAAGTAGAGGTGGGCTGGTCCAGAGGGGGGGGTTAAGGGTATTCATCGAGTGCTTTGAGATGAAACATGCTGTGTGTTCGCAAAGGTGTCTGTCAGTCAAGTGGGGGAGCAACATTATGACAACCTCTCTTCCAGGAGCAGCAAAGACCAAGATTTTTTCCCTGCAAAGCCAGCCAAGAAATTACTGAAATGGCTGTTTTAACAGTCAAAGCTAACAGGGAGAGAACAAAAGAACTCCAGATGCACGTACACACACATCCATCCATCCATCTATCCATGTCCTCCTATGGCCTCCAATGAGCCAACTTCCACTTAAAGAAAGTCTCTTGCATTGGTGGGAAAACAGGCAACAAATTATTTTGCTGCTGTAAAACTTAAAATTATCTAGGTTTCAGGGACGAGTGTGAAATGGGTGTAACTTGCATGAAAATTTCTGAGAGCACTGTTAAGTCTAATGCACAGGGAACAGCAGAAAAGAGGTTAGATTTCTTTTGAGGGAGCTACTCTTGTTTCCTGAATACTGACTTGCTGTCTTACTTGCTACTTTGAGAAGCACAGCTGCTGCTGTGGCTCCTTGAGACAGATAGACAGGTTCCAGAGGGGCTGATCTGAAAGCACACAATATCGCTGCACTTGCTGTTATTCATTTGTCAGTATTTAATAACAAATACAAATGCAGAGCTGTGCTGAAATCAAAAAAAGATACTTCAGTTTGGAAAAAACTTTTAATATGAGGAAGTTGCTTGTTAAACAGAGAGGAATTTGTTGTTCAGCTGCACTCAAAACACAAGAAAAGAAAAAAAAAACAATAATGTGTGCCAGGGCAAAAGTACCACTGTCTTGGCAAGAAAAAGAAACATTTGCAAGCTTCTTTCAAACAATGGGGAAGAAAATGAACTAGAAAAACTGCCTGATGGGCTGCTGAGAAGAATCTTCCTCCCCCCACTACACTCACTGATTTTTGTGTTTTCTTATATCGAGATAAGATGGACTAATGGTACAACAAATAATATCTGACACACAAGTGTACCTATATGGTATCAAGAACAGAATTTAGAGTGGGCTGAACTCCTTGAATTCAATGGCAATCAGATAAGCAGCAAAAATGTAATCAACTACCAGTATTCCTTTCCATCAGAAGATACTGAAAACTCTATGAGCTTTTTCACACAGTTACTATCCCAGTACAGGCTGATACAAACTGAAAAAACCCAATACAAAACACCAAAACCAAACCAAGCCCTGAATTCCAGGTTGAAGATCAAGGTGAGAAGAAACCTTAAGTCTGGCTGTCAAACATCTTAAGTAACAAGTTTTCCAGTGTTTACTCTGGTCATTTTTCCCTGTAGTTGATAACTTTAATAAATTACCCCTAATCCTTCATCAGAAGTCTGCCCTTCTTCAGTTTTATCCCAAGTTCCTAGTCGGCAGCTTCTCAAATTGCCCTTAACATTTTGGAGCTATCATCACATATTGCAGATGAGGGTCAGAATTCCCTATTGCCAAGCTATTAGTTTGTATTTCCTTTTAATCCTTCTCCTACACAAAATAAATATCTAAATGTTGCCTGTATCAAAGTAAATATTTTAAAACATACATACTTAACTTGGAGCAGGTGGGAGGAGTGGGCTGCAGTTGTTTGTGGCCTAGGAGCTTCGCTTTACTGGATCCTTCCTAGCGTGACAGGTGCCAGGTCAGTGTGTGTGAGCTCACACACAGTATTCCAGGTACAAAGTGCATCTAGGTCCTTCACAGCGCCTGTGATTCCTGACCTTCTACACCCAGTTTGCTTCTAAACAATTTGAAAGCAAGAACACTCTTTTCAAACCCTCAGTGTTTCAGCATTTGCTAAGCAGTACGCATTCTATTCGTGAACACTTTCACTGCAGGTTAAAATTCTCAGACGCAGATGATACAATGCATTAAGAAGTATTGGCTGGGGAAAAAAACCCTGTCATACATAGCAGGACTACTGATAATGTGCAGTGTATTACACTACAGCAAAAATGACTAATATCAAAGCTAAACAGGAATGATTTGTATGGTTGAGACAAGTAGAATAAAACATGTATTTTAACTAAATCAGTTTTTAGGAACACCAGGCACAGGTTAATCCTTTATAAATATGTTCACAGAGCACATTAGACACCAGCCCGCCTACACAAAATGAATGCAGCACACACTCTGATGTATTACAGAGGCAGGATAAATGAGGGAACTCTTCTGTGTTTGATCTGGTTCTGCTCTGTAATTCAGAGATACTGGAGATGGGTGGTGAGTTTCTCATTGATCCCAAAAGAACCAATAATCTTGAATCCTGTGAAATGTAAGCTTTGTAGAGGATTGGAGGCTATGCACGAAGGACATTGTAGCTTTAGGGGCATATTCTCTTCTTGTGAATGTGTGTAACTGGCTTTCACAAGAGTCATACATATCCTGGGGAAACTAGACTCTGTAGCTTAACAATACTGAAAATACATACCTAGCTCCACAGGCACTTATATCGCTCTCATGGTTATATCTGCATCCAGTTATAAAGGATAGATTTCCAGCAGATAATAAATGAACCTGCAAATGAATGTCTTCAGAATTTTGAAACAATGCTAAATTTGACACACATCAGCATTTAAAAATGCAGCGGAATGCAGCCAGAACATCAATCCAAGATATTTTAGATAGAAACCACAGGGCTAGCACATAGATGTGGGAATAATCAATTCAATTCCCCCTCACCCCCCCCATTCTTTCCAGCTTTTTAAACCACTTACACCAGTCCTTGCTTCTCTGAACTGTATTTTGCATATGGTGGAGGTGTTAATGCACAGTTACTGCACAACAGGGTTGTGAATTTTAGCTAATGAAAGCTTTTAAAGGCACAATGAAATGCTCAGATGAAAGGCAACAAAGAAGTGCAAAGTATTATTACAGCGTAGCCTAAGTTTTACTGAGAGCATTCTTATACACGATGGACACAGCATAAATATGTATTACGGATGATAACCTCCCTGTAAAGGCAAATTTCCACCCCTGAGGCTGCCAGAGGCAAGGGGTGGTGGTCTTATAATACTTAATAAAGTCTCATAACATTTTCATCCTATTCCTACCCCCGGGAGCTGGAAGAGGACCCCCGTATACATCTGAACTCTTAATGATTAGCATGTCCATCCCGGCATATTGTGGGCACAATTAGATCACAAGGACTGCAGACTAAGATGGTTCAGTGAACATTTAAAGGCAGAGGCAAATTTAGGAAGGAGAGCAAATGCTGTAGTGCCAGTTACAGCACTTTGGCATACAGTAAGTTTACAGTGTTTGCATGCTATCTATGGGAGAGGTAAGCAAAGGGAGAGAAATCTGCTTGTTATTTTCTGTGATAATTTCTGCTAAAATCCAAGTAATTGTGCGCGATAACAAAAAGGAACAATTAACACAGTTTGTACTTTGCAAAGGTGAGAAAGGGATAGCTGTCAACAGGATGTGGATGAAAGCACCAGTAACTAATTTGGAAAAGATCTAGCACCAGAATAAATGTACAACAGCTTACCAGGCTGAGAGAGGACAGGATCTGCTGGTCTGAATGATGGTTTGATCTGTTACGATGGGAGTGAAGTCTTCAGTTTGAAAAACATTATTCTGCTTCCTGGGTCTGCAAAAGGTAACATTGTTGTAAAGACTGCATTCCTCTGATCAGCTGCCCTGTTACACTGATCATAGTCTATGTGATCTGTAGTCCCCTTTTCTGCCTCTGTTTAAATAAAAGATTGCAGCTTCATTTCAGTTATTATTTGCATGTTTTTCTTAGCAGTTTACTCTCAGCAGCTTCTGATTTAACCTTATGTGTTCTGAAGTTTGGGAAAATGCTAGAAAGAGAATTTTTAGATCGGTAGCTAACATTTTCAAAGTAATAGCAGGCTCCTCATGCATGCATCTCATGTTCCACCCTTGGTAAATGTATTCTAACACTCTACTTACCTGCTTTAAAAGGACAGGCATGTTGAACCAGCTGGCCTTTTTCCACAGCTATAGCTTTTCATGTTATATTCTGCTCTTCCAATTTCTGTATTTTCCCTGGATTTTGCAAGACAAAATGCAGAAGTTTAAAGGCTCATAATGTTTATGTGACAAAATCTTACTGCTAAGTACAGTATTACTGGTGGATTAGTTTAATGCAATAGCATAATATAATTTAATTATAGTAATAGCACACAGCAACAATCTTACTACTTATGTCGGATTGTGAGACAGCCTCTCTTAAAAGCTTCATCATTATTATTTGGTTTTTGGGTTTAGTTTCACAGTATCCCCCCTCCACACAAGTAAATTAATGTCATAGGTGTAGAAGAAGAAACACTGGGTAAATTGTTCCCATTTTGCCACTGTAAGATTCCCTAAGAATTCACGATACTAACTGAAAACCTCTTTTGCATCATGAGACAATAGTCAGACAGCCTGTGGTGAAAGCTTGTAGCCTTCCCAGACCTGAATTCTGCAATTAAAAAAAAAATTCTGCAATTAAAAAAAAGGGGTCACCAAACAACCAAAGTGCAAAACCAAATAGGAGCATTTTATCACATCTACTTTTTGTATTTACCTGAGAGCTTTTAATGTAGATTGATCCAAAATCCTGTGCCAGCCACTAACAACTTCTACATTCATGTAAACTATTGTAGCTCAGGGCTTCAGTTTTTTCAGCTCACAGCTTTCACTGATTTCAGCTGTGGCTGACAGCAATTCTGAAAATCCAACCCACAATAATTCCTATTTCTAAAGTGTTTTCTCTCTGAAGACCACAGAATTTTCTATCAGTGTTAATTTCGCCTCCAGAAAGACAGAAAAATGTATCTTCAGCCAGCACAGCTGTATGCAAAGTGAACATCTGTCCATTGCCAAATTCGGTTCAGCTAATAATAAAAAACCACACTTTATTTTCTTTTTCAGACAGGACCAGACTGCAAGGGAAAGCCTGGAGAGGATTTCCATGCTTTAAAAAGAGAAACAGGGGAAGACTGAATTTCCTGAGGTCACTGAGGAAACGCATGGCAGCGCTAGGAAAAGAAGCACTCGAGCAGCCGAGATACCATCTTCACAGCCAAAAACAGATAGGTTTTCTCTGCAGTGTGACATAACAGCAAAGACAGAGCAGGTCTGTGGATTTTGTGGCAATTAAGTTAAATAAGGTTAATTTCTGGGTGGTTGAGAGATGTTTCTGTAATTGCATCACGGCAAAAGCTCTTCTTGCCTTATTTCAATAACAAGAAGCCAGATAACATGAATTAGCTAAACCACTGCAAACCACTGCTTTTTAAAGGGGGTAAAAAAGAGGTAACCTTTTCTTGAAACTATGGTAACTGCAAAAATAGTCCTGCTGTATGCCGACCTGTTGCTGTTCATTGATGAGCTTGCCTGAGGCTTTGTATGTATTTTCAGTGTATACATTTATTTAGGTATGAAGCTAAAGCCATAAAGGCTTTCAGGTTCAGTACTGTAATGCTTGACTCTTAGGGGCACTTTCAGCTTCCCATAGCTCCACAAAAGCCAGCATCTCTGCACAGAAGCAGGTTGTGGGCAGAGGACCTGCATTTCTGCTTCTTTCAAGGGTTTTGGAAGATGACTCCAGGGTGAGTGGACACTCTTTTCTCCCCTTTGACTTCACAGTATGTATGAGTGTCTGGACGTATCCACTGCCCAGTGGTTCCTTTTAGTACAACATACCAGTATAAGGAGGAGATAAATCGTGCTAGATTTTCCCACTCCTTTTCAAGCCCCAAGAGTATATTCAAGAGTTCTGTGCTGTGAGAGAGAAAAATTCACAGCCTTTTTCTATTTGATTTTGGGTGATGTTTGAACCCAGAATCAATCTTTTGCAGCAAATACTTGCTAAAAGCTAGCCTGTTCACTGTTTTGCAATACCAAAGGCCACCTGTCAAATCTATGGCACCTCTACAAGCTACAGATAGAAACATTAACTATGTGCCAATGCACTTTTGCATTAATTTTGGCATGCAGCAGAACCCCTTTCTCTAGCCAGCCTCTGCTACTGCAGCAACACCCTGTACTCAGCAGAAACCTGGACTTTGATAGAAGTGACACAATTTTTACACCTTTATGCCTTGCTGTTATTCATACTGTGTACCATTTGCTACCAAAAGCCTCTGCATTCCTTAAAGCTTTGTCTCAGAAAAAAGAAATTCAGGTCAAACCCCCCTGCATGAAAGCAAGCTGGTGGGGGATTTCAACCTTTGTCTTAGCTCTACACCTTAGGTGACTGTTCTGCAGATTTAAGGGCACTAAGAAAACACTGTGTTTTGCTGTGTTTTGCATGAAACTTTATTACAATAAGCAAGAAGCTGTTCCCAGCCTAAGATCTACTACAGTAAATTAGGTCACCTCAGCTGCTTTTGTAGCAAGATGATGTACAGAAGTCTCTTCCTCCCATTGATAACATTGTTCCCTTGCCTATAGGTGTTGGTTTGGAAACAAATCTAGAGTTACCCTCTATTTACAGTGAAACTCCTGATTATGAGTCTCTCTGCTATTTTTTTCCTCTCTTTTTTTAGTTTAACCATTCCGGTGCAGTGAACAACTTCCGCGCTGCTGTGAGCTTGACTCCCAGCCTCAAGATCTCACCCTCCCTAGTGTTGTCTGGATATCAATTTTTTTCAACCCCCAGTCCTTCCTCACAGGTAGGAAGCACATCACAACTCATTAGTAATTTACTGCTACAGTAATTTTTATAATTACTGCCAGGAGGCCTCATTAAATTTGATCTAATGAATAAATATTGTATTTTTCAACGTGATTACCAGAACAGCTTAAGCTGTGTGCCATAAACAATTATTTTCTTCAATATGCAGTATGTCAGTGAGTATTGATTTTTATTTTGTAAAGAATTTACTGCATTTTTATCCATGGCTATTAAGCAATAAATAGCCAACCCTCTGAAGCCTCAATTGCCACAGAGTAGATGGCAAAACAGAATTTGGGATATCTGCTGCAAAAGGTAAAATAATGCACATTAATAAAGATAAAGGGTTTGTCTGGAGGTTAAGAAGGAGTGCTCTAATATGAATATCTCTCCTAGCCTTCAAGAAAGCAGCCTGCTTTAGCCTGGAGTCTCTGACTTGCAAAGCAGTGATACCAAAAAATTTTAGATGTATTACCAGGATACAACAAAGCATTTTATCTCAGAGAACTAACATATGAACAAACAATCATGCCTTATGTTTCATTTGCTTTTAGAGCAATTGATCAGATTAAACATTCTTCTTACAGGTTTAAGAAAAATAAAGAAATATGCAATACGCTGAACATGAACCTATAGTTCAAATCAAGGCTGTAAATAATATTTACACCTTTTTCAGCAATTGCAGACTTTAGCATACAAACCTCTTTGAACTATAACAAAAGGCATGCATAGGCAATGTCTTAGGAAATTCATCAGAGGAGCTCAGCATCAGGAGAAAACCCTTTACATTTCTGTCATCTAAGAATGTTTTCTGCACCTCTGGTTACATGGTACTACATTAAATAAATCCAATTCCCTAGCTCAAGCTACTTAAATAATTTTAAAGTAAATTTATCTACATCAATGAATATCACTGCTGGCCTGTGACATCAGTTTTCTTGTTTAAGCAAGACTTTCGTTTAGGGCAAAAGAAAAAGGGGTGTTTGTAAACCTAGGGTCACTGGGGCAATTCATATACCTGAAAGGATTCTTTCTTATTTAATGGACATTTTTGAATGATCTGCATTTTTCCCCTTGATTGTTTAGCTTAAGAAAACCTGAGAAGTCTTGAAATTGTTAGCTCAATCTCCCACTCCATGTCCTTGCTGTGACCAAACTGGGATCTGTCCTTCACCAGATTTCACTGGAACAAGAAGAGTGCAGTTACCAACCTGTAACTATGTCATCAGAACAGCCCCTTTGGCTCTCACCAACATGCAGCGATTCCCCTTATACATTATCCGCAAGTAAACTGCAGGCAATTAACTCTACATAGGACCTCAAGACTTAGATCCACCTTAGTTTTTGCTTCACTTAATAACTTCTCTGTTTCACGACACTTAACATCTGCTCTCATAAGGTCTCTTTATACCCACCTTTCTGTTGTGACAGGTGTGGAGGAACCTCAGTCTCACCAACACTGGATGAAAAATACCTGTGTTTCCAGATAGGCTGTCAAACAAAGCATAACCTCCCTCATCTCACTAGTGGTGGGATTTGGTGGCACTTGCCGAATGATCTTCACACAAAGAGCAACTACAAGACAGCTTCTCTCCCCTGTTTGTATTTTCCCAGAAACACACTAACCACAGCACTGCAGAGCTCAGTACAACTACAGGTAAAAGTAGTAGCAACCATGCCCTGGTCTGCCACTTCTAGTACCTCTCTTCTCTGCAATGATTTTTCTGAGGGATAAAGTCCACATGGTTTAAGTGCCGTGCAAACATCAAGAAATCATTGCTCAGAAACTGAGGCAGAAAAAGGTTGAGGTGTTTTTAACTGCGGAGAAGAGTTGAGTGTTTTGTACACACTAACCCATTTATCATAGGGACTTCTGAGAATCCCTTTTACAAAATCCATGTTGTCTTGCATATTGTACAGCAAGCTGTGGCATACTGGGAGGTGCAAAGGAACCCAGCGAAGGTTCTCTTACAGGTGGCAGGAATCGCATTTCCCCATGGCTTCCAATATGTTAAAAGTATAATGTGACATCTGTACAGGGGAAAACAGAAGCTAGATTTCAGCAGTCAGGCTTAATTAGCGACTTAGTTAAGCCTGATAACAGCCAAACTGTTCATCTCATCCATAACTTTTCTTCAGAACTGGAAAAAAAAAAATCAGATGCTAGACACGAGATTTTGGAAACTGGAAAACCAGGTGAGAATTAAAAAAAAGTAACTAACAGACTGCAATACTCTCAACTCCCTTGCATCAACTATAATGCATAATATACTTAATAGTGAGCCTAAAAAATAAACTAATTCTGCTTGCAAGGAGAAAGAATGTGTATCTCCAGTCTGTGCCCAGTAGCTACCCAGAAGAAAAAGAAAAGCATTATTCCTTGCTATGGGTAAGTCTACATGTCGTGATGAAAATTAATGGTAATTATGTTAAGAACATTCAAGTGTTAATTTTTTTCTAAAGCCAAATTTAGCTATGTGAGCAAATGCGGTTTTGGTCTTGCAGCTACAGGAAAAGTGACTTGTTTAAGATCATACCAGCAGGCTTTGATAGAACACTGTATTCTGTAATGGGCACATAGATATCATGTATACCGTATATTTTTATTTGCTGGAGGTGCTCTTCAGAGCTTTGTAGTACAGATGCTGTTTTCTAGCCACACCAGCCATTTAAAAACTAGAAGTTACTTCACCCAGAAAAAAACTAGGATTATATCAAAGCATTTCAGTTCCTCACAACAAAACTCTGTGCTTGGTTTCCAATACTAAAATTGTAACATCACAACTTTTTCATAAGAATTAAATGGAAAGAGAAATAAAGGGGGAAGAAAAAGCTTTTAGAGTGTTAACTCTCCACGGCAGGAGGAAGCCAGCATGGGCATTGAGCTCAGCACACTCATTCCCTTCTCCCTGCTGAAAGGGACACAAAAAGAACTCTGGCTAAGCATTTATTTTTCTGCTAATGTGAAAGTTTTCTTTTAAAGAGGAAGCAGATTGAACAGAGCACGAGAAAAGAATTTGACTCTGGCTTATTTCCAAAGGGTTTTTTTTTCCTGATGATTCACTGTTATCACTTGTATTCACATTACAACCAGCTCAAAAAGAAATACCCAAAACCAAAACCAACCCCCCCAACAACAAAAAAACCCCCGTAGCACAAAAGCACTAAGAAATAGGATCTCTCCTACTGCTAAATTCTGCTAATAAGCTATATAAGAAGAGAATCATATAAGATAAGAGTACCTATGTTCATTCACATTTGAGTAGGAACATTGCTAAGCCTCTAGACCTGGAACTTTAGAGCATATCTAAAGATGGTGAATCTCCAAGGCATTAAACAAAATGGTTGGCAACGATTGAACTTGTTTTACTTCAGCTATATAATAAAGTACAAAACATCTAAATATCTGTGAAGTCTAAAATGTTTAAATTTTCAGTATAGTCTTTCCAGTAGTTTTATTTTCAAACAGGAGTTTGTTTGGATATCCAGGGAGGAGACATAACTGCTAACTCTCTGAAAACATGAATAACAATTTTTATTTGTGGGAGACCTCTCACCCTCAGCCCTTCACTCAGTTGTGAAGTTTATGTAGCAATTCACAAACCACTTTTGCATGGGCATTCAAGCTAAAAGGCCAAAAGGAGTGCTGGTAGTTGCTTCGTTACTGTACATGTGACTAAAAGAAAATGGCTATGCTTGCCATAGGCTTCTCTTACTTAAACCTCTTGACACAACCGACCACATAATTTCATTCTCCCTCCCTGCAAGGGTATTGGCGGTATAGGATGTAAAACTAACTGGACACCAAACACAAATCTCTAATTTCAGTAGCATTTTGTATCTGCTTTCAGGAGTAGATACAAGTTTTACCTTTAGACATACTCCAATGGAAAGACTGTATCAGGAGGTCTCAACACAGCTGGATCTACTGTTCAGCTTTTTTTTTCTAGTTCAAGTGATTAGTACAAACACCATTAAAGTACTACTAATAGACAGATGGACACAATGCTTTCTTACCCCATCCTGATCATATCATGACTTCTGGTTTATTTTTTTCATGTAACAGAACTGTCTCCCATCCTTGCGATCAGAGCTCAATCAATTCTACCTGGAAGACAGCCTGTACCAAACAGCAAAAGTAGATGTGATTTAATATGACTGTAGCTCTATGCTTTAGACACATTTTCATACAAATTCAATATCCACAACTTCTTATCAGTCACAATAGGATTCCTAGTTTCCCTCTCACCTCCCATTTTCAGGACTACTACCACTAGTACCCATCATTACATTTTTGAGTTCAAACATACAATTCCCCCACTGTTTGCCACTCCTAAAGCGTTTGTGGGGTTAGGAGCCCCAGGATTATCACTTGGAAGAGGAGTGAGACCCAAGCATAAAAGGGTGGTGCTGGCCTCTCTTCAGTGTTTGGAGCTCATACATTCATATACATCTATGACAAAGCCCAGCATTAACTGGGTGCTGGTGTTTAGCACCCATAGACTGGCCAGCCTATACTTGACAGAGAAAATTGTATCTTTTTACTCACTTTAAGTTGCTTTAGAGGCCAAGAACATGAAAGAACAGCAGGCAGTGTTTCCAAAATCTCCACATTTGCTCATACCATTAGCCATGCAAGAGCTGCACTCACAAAAAGGCATAAGAGAACAAACTGGATTATGCCAGCAGAGGTCAGTGGGTGACTCTCTTGCTGAATGTTTCCGATGCATAGTGTAGTACAGATGGTTTCAAAGTCAGCTATGCTCCCTCACCCTGGAACACAGGAGGCTATTCTTTAACTGGATGCCATTCTTTAACTAGATGCCACCATTTTGCCCTTTTTCGTTCCATTAGCCTACCCAAGCAAATGATGATGCTTTGGTACATTACCATCTCTGTGCTTTTCTCTTCAAAATACGTTTTTAGGTTGCTGGCAGACAAAATAAAGGTCTATCAGCACATGAGGCTAGGAAGGAAGAGGGATAGTTTCCAAAGCTAATGCCTATTTTTTTTTTAGATTTCCATTGCAGTTCCCTACACTAATAGCTGGTTAAGCAGCTGAGTGTGTTACTCTGGAATGTTTAGTGCATGCTATTTCAGCCTGTGAAGTAACACCGCCATGCTGTTTTTGTAACTTACATATAATGAAAAAAGTTTGCTTAATTGGCAAGGAAGACAAAAGTCCTTTTCTCAGTATTTGAAGAGACCTAATGCTTCAACATTTGGCTTAATTAAAAAGCAAGTGAAACAGGGAAGAAGCAAATTACACATATTAATATATATCTTCTCATAATAAGGAGGTTATGGTCGATTTAATCAGTATATACTATATACTCATTTATTATACCAGTTTAAAAAAAAAAAGTGGTTTCATCAGACCTAGGCACAAGATCACCTGGCTCTAAAGCTGACAGTAGTGAGGGAATGTCAGGTCATGCAGCCTTTTTCAGTAATAAATTAGCAGTCATTGTACCTCACACATGAGCTTCATTCATTTCCATGTATCTTTGGTTTTTAACGCTGACAGAGTTAGGATCTTTTCCTCACAAAGTTTCTTAAATTGCTGCCCATTCACTGCAGTTATCAACCATGAGCTCTTCAACTATTTTTCAGCTTAATATCAACAGTACTTAAGTAGCTGCGGTAGAGGGACTTTGGGAAAGAGGTGTATTGAGACATCCCAAAATCATCACATAAAACTAATGTCCTACACAATTATATATGAATTTATTCTCAAATTCCCAGCAGTGTGATGAAAGGCATTTAAACACATCTTTCAGGTGAGTAACAACATGAGGATTTCAGCAGTAGAGTATCTGAGACATATCAGTCACTCTGTTTGATCACTTCTTTCCCGTTTCCCCTCACTACAAGCCAGCTTTGTGTAATCTTCTGCCTCAGTCTCATATAACTCCTGTCTTTAGACCCAGCTATGCCAACACAAAAGCAGCACAAGTATCAAAACCAGTCTTCACTATCAGCCTGCAATCAAGGCACCTCAGGTTATTCTCTGCTCCAGAAAAGAGCTCCTGAGGAAACTTTAGAGGTTGTTTAGGAAAAAAAAATAAAAATTAAACAGCAGGCATCTCACTTCAACTTGTGTGCAAAATTTTATTCTTATTCTTGTCATCTCAGGATATAGGCACTAGTTTAAAAGAAGTCGAAAAAAACCAGGAGAATAAGCACATAGCTCACCTGCTTAAAGTCTGTATCTGGCCTGAACTAAGCACTCTGTATATCAACCATCACAAGTTAGTCACCAGGTACCACACAATTCAATCCAAGCAGCATAAATATAAGAGCAAGCCCGGTTCAGGGACACAGGGCTGGGGAGAATAAGATGTCCAAGTCCCACTGCTCCCCCAGGTACGATGGAAGCAACCAACTCCTTTATTTCCCAAAATAATTTTACCTGAAAGGTAGTGCAGTTCTAACAGGCTTTTTAAAAACAGTTCAGAGGCAAAAATATCTAAACCTGAAAATTTTTATTTTCAAAATAAAAAATGTTGTACAGAACATTGAAGATCTGAGTAAATCTAAATACAGCAGTCTCCACAATATGACACAAGGGTTTGCTTTTAGCACAGTACTTTCACACTCTAGCAATCAGAAGGAAAGCCAAGCAATTAGGAGGAAACAAAAAAAAAAAACACAACACTTTTATCTGTCGGAACATGTATTTCTAAAATGAGCTCCTTCTTCACAAAATGTACCTAGATGGAAGAGCACTCTCCACCTCAGATTGCAGAGCTATTCACACTATAAAAACACATCAAGAGAGGACAGGAGATTTTCAATAGGAGAAATGATTTATGAAACATAACTGCAAAACTGAGACATAAATATCTTTTGTTTCTAAATTCCTCTCTCTTCCCCTCCCACACACACTTATGCAATCCCCAGAAAGGAATAAACTGTGGATCATTATGAATACACACAGAGCAAGTACTGTGCAAGCAGAGAAGTCTAAAACCATGTTGATTCTTCTACTATTGAACTGTACATTATTTGTAACATTGCATTCTAAACCTTACATAAAGATTACACAGTAGTTTCCATAACCAAACTAAGCACATTTACACTTTGTGGTTCTCTGGATGCAATTTTTGTGGCACCTTCTTTTCTACAGCAGTGTCCAGGAGACACCATGCACACAGCATATTGGAATTCTTCAGCTCTGTTTCTGCTCTACTTGTTTCATATCACGGCTGGGCTTCGCAAAGGAAGATTTGGGAGTTGTTTCATAAACATCATGTGAAATAGCCTTCCACAATCACATGGAGCCAGACATAGAAACATGCATTGCCACTTTTCCTGACAAATTAAACAAGTTACCACCTTTCATCCACTTGCAGCTGGCCAATAGCCACATGAACCACTACCTCCCTCTACTTCGCCAAGCCCTCATCTGGAGACACCCCTCCTTCCCAGGACCGTTGCTGATTCTGCAAAGCAGTTCTGCAGTTGCAGCAAGAGCAGGGAGGAGAGTCCACCAAAACAGTGATTTAACAAAGGGTACATTCCATTTCAGACAGTGGTCACTCCATAATGTGTACCAGTACGTTCACATTGTTGTCACCAACAGGCAGCACTAGTGCTGTAGAAGCTTTCAGCAGTGGCCTTCTCTCATCTAAACAAAAATACAAAGTGCCACCTCAAACTGCTTCTGCTGCATTTTTAAGTCACTCAGAGAACTTCCCTTGAAATGGCCATTGTGTACTTTTAGTACTCTGTAAAACCAAAAAATTAGCGCTTGGAGACTGCTTGGCTGCAACTTTTAAAACTTCCTTTTTGAACTTAAGAACATGCTGCTGTTTTAGAGAATTCTAAATTGATTAATTGATCATTAATGTTTAGTAAGTGTCTGTATTGCAGAAGTTGGTTGTTTGGTTCTGTGGAGAAAAGTGCCCTGAGTTTTCAGAATATCTCTATCTTTTTATGACCAATTTCAAAGCGTAAGTAAGCCTGCGGCACAGATTGCTGCATGAGTGAAACTAATGGCTTAAAGCCCCATCTCCTTTTAGGAAAAAAAAAAAAAAAAGAAGTTGCCAGCATAAAAGCAAGGACTGATATTGATACTACCTCTTTTGCAAAGTTGTTTAAAGAGAAAACAATGGCCTGTGGGCGAAGACCTTCGTTAAACAGTTTTCTCTAGTATGATTTATACTGAAATAAATCAAAGTTCGTTATCCTTTTTTACCCAAAAGGGGAGGAAAGGAAGGCACTTTGCAATCTCATTTGATTAAACAATTCACTGTAGGCAATAATACGACACTGGTGAAAGAGTATGAAATTTAAAGGCAGTCACAGCTTCAGTCTTCCATTCCAAGTTCTTGTTTCAGACTGAAAGACAAGTAGAAACATGAGTTAGCTTGTAGCAAAACACTGAAAACTGTTTAGTTCAATTAGTGGAAGCCCTGACAGTAAACATACTGAAGTTGAGAGCCAAAAGACAGAGTGGGTATACAACTTGTTTTCAGTAAGAACGAGTGAATCAGAAAAATCACGTCAAAATCTTAGATTCTGAAGGCAACAGACCGATCTTGAGATTTACCTGATGAACTAGGATGGGGACAGCTCTACTCTCCCACTTTTGAGATGCTTATCCCACTTAAAGCAACCATGTCACTGACACAATGGTATCCTTACCTTTTTAAGTAGGCATGGACGTTGTCAAAGCCATGGTACTTGGCCAGATAGACCAGGACACCTGTTGCACATTGGCCATCTCTTTGTCTGCAGAAACTACAGTTGCAGATTCCACGACATGGTGGGCACCTCCATGTCTAGACAAAAGACAGACAAGCCTTTTTAAGTGAACTGCAATGTCAGATATCATTCACATCCGGAACTAAGAAGAGTGCCCTTCTCCACACTGAGTTCTGCAGTAAACATCAGCACTGCAGAAGCTGTCTAAACCAGTGCAAGAGTACAAATTCTTCAGTCTGTAGGGGATTAAACTCTTCTTTGCCTGCCTTGCACAACCACAGGAAGCATTCCACTCTGTTTAACTCCTACACCACAGCCCATAAGAGCACCACTTTGTACACAACACAGAACCTTTCCATAGGGCATTAAGCACTAATGCAAGGCAAAAGCAAACACTATTTTGATGCTCAAACACAAGAATATGTTGGCCACTGCTCTGCTCTCATACTTTACTCCTGCAAATAAAGCCACAGAAGTAGTAAATACAGCAAGTTCTACACAACACAAAGTTCTGCGACTCAAGTTGAATCAAGCTAGGCCTGCATCATGTACTACAGCACTGTAAGCAGTTCTCCTATTAAAACTCTTACTATGAGTAACCAATACACCTGGCTGCTCAAGTTAAGCACAACAAAGCCAACATTCAGAACTGCCTTACTGGATCCAGCAGGGCTGCTCTGACACTCTCCCCGTATCTGTTGCGGAGGCAGGGCCCACAGAACTGGCCCCGTACTCCCACGCAGTCAGGGTTACGGCAGTTTGTCTTGGTGTCAATGGTTTTTTGGCGACACTGATGACAGGTGGATCCCTAGAACCCAGGAAAAAGTAACAAGACATTAAAGATGGCATTTTAGTTAGGGAAATAAAGCATTTAACAAAATCTCTTTGACAGCTAGCAGTGCTTATCCAATAACAGAAAGCACCTTGCAAGTTTGAAACAAGACTGTTTTAACACAATGTCTTCAGTGTCTGTTTATCACTTTCCATGGCTGGTATCACTTAGGTGATAGAGTTCAGAGTGAAAAGCTCATAGTATTCCAGAGTGAAAGCAAGCTAATTGGTTTGGTAAAAGCCCTTCTACAAATTCAGGCAAAAAAAAGAAAGGACACTTTAAGATCTTTCTCCCAAAAATCACATCCTTCCTCTCAGTGAGAGGAGCCTGCTCTATTTGATGCTAAAACACAAGCAAGGAATAACAAGAAAATGGCTTCACAAAACACACATTTCACAAAGCTAGAATATACTTACCATGGCCCTGTTATATACTTTTTCTCTTGCAGATCCACAAATATTATTGAGCTCTTCCTCTGTTATGTCCTCAACTGGGCGCACAACGTGTGGAAAAGCCATGGCACCACGGTGACCCCTCCTGGGAGATTGGGCTTCATGCTGATTAGCAAAGACACAATACTTTTAGTACTAGTTTCAGTAAAAACCCTACAAAGGTGAGGATTTTCACAGCAATGCCAAAGCCGTAAACACCCATCATTTTAAACAAGATACAGCAGAAGTTTGCACAGACATATGATATGAATGCAGCTTTAGCATGCTCACTGATCACCTTCAAGGTGCAGAGATGCTACTGATCTTGTGTAATTCCTGCTAGAGTGCAAGAGGAAGTGATTTTTCAAGGATAAGGGAGGGAAAATGGAGAACACATACAATATGTTATTTTTTGTACTTCTTCCAAGGTCATGGCATACTGATAAACCTCATCAACTCTGTATGAATTGCTATTGTCTTGAAGGAATAAAAAACCACCTTCACAACTCACAACATGAGAATTAGACCCTCATCATACCTCCAGGTATTCATCAGACACCTTTCTTCTTCTCACTAAGATGTACTGGTCATCTTCTTCCTCTTCTGGTAAAACGGTAGGAGGACCTTCAATCAAGGACCTGGACCTTGTGTGAGGCCGAGAACTTCGGTCTGGGTTCCTCCTCAAAGCACATCTGGGTGATGAACGCCTTGGAAGTCGCTTTGGTCCCTGGTAAAGTTTAAAAGTCCCTAATGAAACAGGCAAAAACCCAGACAGCTCCAGTCCCTGCTGAATTCCTCCCCAAAAGATGCCTTTCTTCTGTCTTTCCCAAAGACGTGTCTATCCCTGTCCCAATCAGAAAACACAAGGTAAAAACATCCTAGGCAAATTCATCTCAGGCGTTCTGCTAATCACAGAGAAACAGTCAAAAGCAAGTTTGTGTCTATGCAGGTATAAGATACAGTAATTCCCCTATGTAGCAGCAGAACCCATCTATGAGAAGTTACAATTTTTAGTGTTGTTTTAAACTTCACCCACCTTACAAATAAACCAGCAGTAAAATTCATCACACTGCTGATTTGCAACCCAACCTTCTTTAAGGTTAGTCTAAATGTCAGGTGTTTTTCAAGGCTCCAAACTCACAGAATATTCAGGCCTGAGATTTAAAGTCTGAGCTGTCCCCCTTATCTCCAGCCTTTGTATAAATACGTATTTACAGAGCACCTTGTTTAGTTTTATTGGCCTGTGGAGACACTTAACCCTTATGAATTAATCTGTTCTGCTTTATATGGTGAAAAATCAAAAGAAAACTACAGAATGAGGATACCTGTTTTAGGAAGCAGTGAAATTCTGACTGGACTTTGATCTGCAGAGTTTATTAACTTTTTAACTGAGAGTCAGAATTTGACTCTTGGAAATCTGAAGACAAATACAGTAAGTTTATACTCACATGACTGACAGCTGGCAATGACTTTCTCCCACCAAAGATACCAGAAACATTTTGCAACTCAGCCATTAGTTTTGCAAGCTAACGAGAGAAAGAAAAATGAAGCAGAGCCTTAAAAGGGTGTTTATGTGCTATTACAGACCATTAGGGTAATTGGCTAGAAGTACAATTAATTACAGGAAATGCAGTCATTCTACTCTTTACTTTTATGTCTTATTTATGTTCTAGTGACTGCAAATAATTTGGAAATGCTCAAAGTTACTATGTTAGGCTTGCAGTCTATGCATTTTCACATGCCAGTGAATATAAAGTATCAGAAGTATATATCAGGAATGTAAATTCCTTTTAATGCACTCACATAAATTCCCATTACAGTTCATTTAACCAAAGAGGTCCCCCCAGAGTTAAGAGGCAGAGGCGAAGAAGGGACAGTCCCATTGAATACTTGCCATTGCTTTGTTTTCCTTTATGTTTAAAGCTCTTTTTTCTAAAAACATGGCACCCTTGTCTTCAGTGTCAGAGTCTGAATCTGAAGCAGGCATTGGTGTTTCAGGAAGAGGTTCTATCTCACCCTTCCTCCTCTCCGATCTTCGAGGTGGAAACCTTATGGCTACTTTTAGAGGAACAGAGCATTTCCGCCCTCTCTGAGCTACCTCACTTTCTGCACTTGTACCATTCTCCTCTGAATCCGATTCCAGTTTCTGTTAACAAACCAGAAGGGAAGCATTTAAGTCCAAGGGAGTTACTCGGCAATCAAATACAGTCAACAATATTTTGTTTGTGGCTGGTAAAAGAGGCTATTTGGCTGAAATTTAGACATCCAGTCCTAGTGCTCTAGTGTATTTTAGGAGGGGGGGGCAAGAGAAGAGGGGAGCACGGGGATAAAAACCCCTCAGGGAGAGCCACATGGTACTGCTGCAACACATCCAAAAAGGGACTGTAGTTTCAGTGCAGCAGACTTAGCTGTTACTGGCAGGTCTAATAGCAGAGATAGTTTGTGTGGTGTGAGAAAGAGAACTGCCTTTAAAGGCAGACATTTTTATTTTCTAGTCATTCCTCAGCATGTTCTGAAGTTATGACAAACCTGTTTTTCGCCAAACATGGTACTACTTCTGTTTTCTCTTCCAGACACCAACTGTTGGTCATTTTAAGCAATAAAACCGATCTTGCGTTGATGTCAAGGAAAAGCAGGAAGGCAGATTTCACCACCTATTTCTCTACTGTTAAAGGCACACAGCATTTCATATGTTATGCTGCCAGACTGCAGGTTTGACTGCATGTCAAAATACACAGAGCTTTTTCTCAGGTTTGCTGGAGTCCACGGGCTACCTTAACATTTCATATTGAGGAAACCAGTAATGATAGGCTCCAACAGAGGAACATCCAGCAAGGACAGTTTTAAGAGGTATATTTCAAAATGCATATGGCAGATTTTATTCTGAATTTGTAAAGCTCAGAATCTTGAGTGGTTTTTATGGAGACAAAAAGAAAATTAAGCTTTGGCTACTTAGACTGTATATAAAATGCAATAATGCTTCTTTTCCTAAATATTTGAGTCAAGCTGAAGCTGGCATTATGTTTCAATTAAGAATGTGTAAGAGTGTAAATAGAAAAATGCAAACTAAAATCAGCTGTCTTACCAACGCATCTTGAACCTCATTTTCTGAAAAGCCACAGAAAGATTCATCATCAGAGGCTTCATGAAAAATTTTTGCCAGTTCTTCTCCAATATCCGACCTAAATTTGCATTTCTATGAAGAATAAAATATCCTTTAACTGAAGTACAGAAAATTGTTCACATTTACAAGTGCAGTATAAGCAAATAGCTTTTTTTAATAAGGAAAAGAAATAGTTAAGGCATTTAACAAGGGGTTTCAGAACCAAAGTTGCAAATTACCAGGCAGGTTAGGTGACATTTCAAAGGCTAGAAATAATAGCTAATCTGTTTCCAAAAATTACCACCTAGAAGCACAAGTGAAGAGTGAAATGAAATTACAGCATATAGCATAGATTTATAACTACTATACAAAAACATAAGCAGAGCAAGCAGTTTTAAGTTTTCACCAAACATTTACTAGTTTTACCAGATTTACATTTTCGCAAGCTTTACTAGTACTGCACATACAGTTTTATTTGTTCTTGTATTGTACTTACCGTGTTTGCAAAATTATCAGAACCAAAACTGTCACAACTGTCATCAGAGGATGAGGATGTTTCCATGGGAATCAGTTTTGTATTTCGGAAGGCTGTGAAGTTTTTCTTTCCCGAACAACCTCGGCGCTGCAAAATGACAACGGCAACACCGTTAAGAAGAGACCTACTGTAACATACTAGCTTTTAAGAACATCCTTCTATTGAAGTTTAGATGGTTTGAACATTTTAGGATGTTTAACAATCTTGAATGCAACTCAGCGTAACTAACATCAGCTTTGAAATAAATCCCAAAGTTAGAAATGGGAATGGGCTTTTACTCTGATACAGTTCTGATCACTGTTACAGAAGAGTTTTGTTCAGTATTTAAGAACACTTTTTTTGTGCAAACAGACAAGTGGAAATACACACACAAATCATGTCATACCCCAGTCTTCATAGACAGTGACAGAAAAAAGTGCAAGCACATGAACAGTGCCTAGAGATCTGCTTTGATTTATTGCTTTCAGTTTGAGACAAACGCTAAATACACTGCAGCTGCTCAGGAAGGGTCAACGGATCATACCCACAAGTGATTTGAAACAACTATTCTAGACACGGCAGCTTGCTGTTTTGGTCGTTTTGCCACCGGTTTGAAAGATCCTTTTTGATAGGCTTCAGTTTTTCCTTTCCCAGGGAATGTTTCTCCTGGCAATGACCCATTTTATCTCCCGTGATTATCATCGACCTGAAGGCCAAGGCGGTAGCACCCACAAGCGCCACTGCTCCACGGGCCCACCGAAAGGGCCAAACTCTGTATAAAGAGGGCTTAAAGAGTAACCACCCAGGGGAACCCCGAGCTCTCCGTCCTCTCCCAGCACCGCTCTGCTCGCGGATTTTCGGCTCAGTTTCGCCGGCGCTGCCGAGGCACAGCACGGCGGCCGGGCCTGGCCCCACACACAAAAGAGGCCGCTCCTGGTCTCTCCCGCCGCGGCTGAGGGAGTGCCCAGCCGGGGAGACCCCCAGCGGCGGGCCGGCCGGCACCTGACGGCTTCGGGCACTGTGCAGCCCAGCCCAGACACCGGTGTACGGCCACTAGATAGACACGCCCGTCCCCTTAGGGCGCGGCCCCTCACTCCCGCCAAGGCAGCGGGCGGCTTTTCCCGCCTCCCGCTAAGATGGTGCCGCCCCGCACACACGCGGCCGGGCCGCCCCCTCCGCCCGCCGTCTCTGCCGCGCGGGGCCGCGCCCCTGCCCTAAGGCCACACCGCCGTCCTACGGCCGCGCCCTCGGCCCTGGGGAGGGGGGCAGGTGCGGGGGCACTGGCCGCATGGCGCCGGGCCGCCAGCCCGACTCCTACGGCGCGTCCTCTGCCCCAGTCAGGCGCGCAAGGGCACCGCCATGCGCGGGGCAAGGGGAGCTCCAGCACCGCGGCGGGGCAGGGCGCCCGAGGCTGCCGGCCCGCGTGGAGAGGCTGCCCACACGCCGCTCTCCCCGAGGTGCCCACCCCAAAGAGCCTCCCAGCTCAAAGAGCCCGCCGATCCCGCCAGCCTCCCGCAGCGCGGCTTAGCCCGGCTTGCCCCGGTTCGCAACAGCCCGCAGGGTCCCGGCAGAGCGCGGCTGCAAGCGCCACAGCCTTTCCTCTCCCTGCAGCAGCAGCAGCGACCCGCAGCCGTGCGGCGGTGCCGGCGGGCGGCCTCACCTGCGGGCGCGGCGGAGCCATGCTGGTGGCGGCGGGGCGAGCTCGGGGAACTGAAGGTTCGCGCCAAAGCGGCCAGGACCGCAGGGGGCGGGGCCCGGCGGCGCCTTTCCCGCGTTGCCGCCCGCGTCCTGGCAGATACAACTGTCAACCCCCCGGGATCGGGCACCCGGCGTGATCGCCCCGCGCTCGTCCCCCAACCCCTACTGAGGAGCTCGTCAGGTCTCCCGGGACGTCCCCGGAGGGGCCAGTGCGGAGGCCCATTTCTTTTTCCTATTCGCGGTGTGGGGTTTGTGGAGCTGCAAGGGCCTGGCCCTGTGGCGCGAAAAGCTCCCTGCCGGAACGCCGCGCTGTGCCGGAGGGGCGGGGGGGGGGGCAAGCTGGGGGCTGGGCCCAGACCCGCCCCGCAGGGTCCTCTAATTTTATTTTCTTTTAAAATTAATTTTATATACCAAACGTGGATTGGTTTTCACCACTCTGAAATAAACTCCCCATACCTGCCAGTTTTCAGGGGCAGCGGGGGCTTCTCCATGCAGGAAAGGCGAGGTCCTGTGCCCTAGCTGCCCTTTGGTAGTACAGCAGTGCAACAGAATTTTGCGAAGTTGGCTGCCTTGCCCTTTGTAAACAAAGTACTTTCTGAAGAAGAAAATAGATCGGTGATTTTAAAGTATTTTAGGTAACATTTATAATAGCACATTAAATCAAGTACAGCCGTTAAACGCAGCAAAATAACTGCTACATGGTATTTGGCAGCAAGAGTAATGGGAGAAGCCCTAAAGAAGCTGTATAGGATTTGTGGCTCTGGTGTTTGCTATAATCCTCTGTTTATCCCGCAGTTTGAGCAGGGCTCAATACCAGGGCAACTGTTGCTGCTGAGCATTTCCAGGTGTCTTCCTGCCAGCAGGCGAGTCCCCACTGCAATGGGCAGGAGGGAGGAGGCCCCATGCGCGTGCAGCCCACACACAAACCTGTGCCCGTGTAAGGCAAACCACGGATCATCTCTAAAGCCAAAGCCTGTAAATAGGCTATAGCACAATAGAGTACAAGAGCCCTGGCGGAGGTGTTCTGTTTTCTATGGGCATTATTCTTCCTGCACATGCTGCAATCTGTCATGTAAAAGAATCTCCATTTTAAATAAGCCCATAATTACATACTTACCTGCACCGCTGGCTTCTCAGCACATGCACAAAGGCAGATGAACTAAACCAGTTCTCCAGAGACCTGACCACACTCCATCCTTCTAAATCCACATTAGTGGAGGATTTCCATCCAGCCAGTTTCCAAACAGCACAGCTCAGTTGGGAAGAGCGGGGTGTTTTTTTAATTTTGATATAGTTTTACTTCTTTCAGAAAAAGAAATCTACCAATACTAGTTTACTTACATGGAAGAAGAGATCCAGTTTATCAACAGTAACAGCCTTAACATTTTGAATCGCTATTATCAGAATTTTCTAGAAAAGCAGCCAACCTTCACAGGTTTTAAGAGCATCATATGAAATGTTATGGAGCACTGATGGTACTAGCTGAAGCAAAACTTTAGACTGCAGTTAATTTTCCATTTAATGCTTAATGCAAACAGCATTCTTTGAATCTTCAAATGACGTATGTAGTCAAATGGCTTTAAAATTAATAAGCTAGAGCAGGGACTTTGTGGTGAATCTGGACAGGACATTTTGTGAAGTGTATTTTCAGCTCTTTTTCTAATACGTGAAAAACAATTATTTTATTGAATATTGTGTTATGTCAGCTCATACTCTACAGAGGACTGGGGAGGAGGGAGCAGGAAAGGGAAAAGAGAAATTGGAAGTATGTGAAAGGCAGAGGCTTCCCTTCCTACAGCACATAGCAAGGGTACAAGAAAATTAAGGTCTGTAACTCAGGTGATAGCTGTTGTGACCTGTTCCACCGTGATTTCTCCTGCTTTCATCTTCATGCCCTTCATGCCCTTCATGCCCCTGCTCTGCCCTGCAGGGCCCAGATGCCCTCAGTGGATGGTCAGAACAAACTTACCAACTGGCTTTACTGTGATGGAAAAAGTTTCCCTGGATTTGTCAAGACGTAGGCAGCACCGCTGTCCTACATCTAGCTATTAACAATAACTGAAGAACTGCAAAGAGTGAGCATTTCATTTTCAGCCACACTTAAATTAGGCTAATGTGAGTAGAAGAAAACATCTCTGCTTGTTCAGTCCCCAGTCTGGGACCTGCATGGCCTGTCCGGTGCTACCAGGGAGCTCACTCCTCAGGGCTCACGTGCCAGCAAAGATCATCTACAGTATTTTATCAGGTGTTTCCAAGAAAATAGTCTGTAAAGTTCTCATCTGTCCTTGAAATGAGTTGTCTGTGCATGGTAGCGGCCCTTGGAAGTTGTGCTAAGGGAATGGGCTGAAATTACGGAGAGACATGCAGTAGATTGAGTGTGCAACAGTTTCTGCATCCATGTGGGGGAATCAAAGTTGTTCACATATTAGGAGCTTCAAGCAGTAGCAAGAACATGGAGCTCCAACAATAGCTCCATTGTCAGAAAAAAAAAATGTGACCTTTGGTCTACTGGGACGAAGGACAAGCGCTGTCCTCCATGTCACCCCGCAGATTTTAGCTGTTGGCATTGTAACACAGCTTTTCTCTCTGAAGGCAGGACTCCTGCTGCCCCATCCCTGGCTCTCCTACACACTTCCTATCTTAACTATGGACAATACACTTTATGCTTCTCTCCTTTTTTTTTTTTTTTCAAATTGGGACAATACCTGCTGTCATGAATGAGTGTTTTAGGATACTCAGAGAATCACCAGCAAAGGTATGGGCAAAAGCAGGTTTAATACAAAAGTGAAAGCATAACAAAGTTCGTTGGCAATGTTTACTCTTCTACTTACTAGATGGTTAAAGCACACAGAGAAAAATTGTACTGAAATCTAAAATCAATGAATCTAAAACTAAAATCAACCAAAAATTATCTACATGGAAAAAGGGTAAGTATGAGAAAGGCTAAGGATAGAAAGGAATAAGGGAGACGTTCCTGTTGAGTCACAAAGTTCAGAGTAGTTTGACCTCCTTGACAAACTTAGCCCCAGACTTGAACACTGGTTGAGGCTTAAAAGTTTTTAAAAGCACTTAAACTTAACAGCACTTAATTGATAGCTTAATGTACACAATTTGACAAAAGATTCTTATAGAATTTTCTATAGCACAACAGCAACTCAATTATAGGCCTAAATTCCTTATGAATCTAAAATACTTAAGAAACTAAGAGAGCAACATTCGTACTACATTTGCTATAGCATATTCACACTCACACACACACAGACCTAAATGTATGTAGAAGGTTTGTACATACACTTGAAAAATTCCCCTCGAATTTAGTGAAGTGCTCATGTCAGATGCCTGTGCATCTTCTCAATAGGTTGAGCTTTGAGGAGTGGGGGTATCAGCACAGGCTCCATCGTTGGTGTTCGGTGGTGGTCCTCCAAGTACAGCAAACTTGAGAGTTCTCTGGCTCTGAGAGGCATCTCACTCAGAGGGACATGCTGGTCGCAGTCCACTGTGGTCCAAGAGGGCTCAAAGAGTCTCACTTAGGACTGCTGTTTATAGGATTGCAAGACAGTTGGCTTTAATCATAATAATTTTTCATCTTGGCCTCAATTTGGGTCAGTACTTTTCTTTGAAAGTCTGATAACAAAAATATTATTTCAGCTGGGTTGTTATTCAGGCAAGAAAAGTCACTTTTCAAGTCTGTTCTTTAAAAACTAGAAGCTCACTAGATAGCATAAGCTCCTGGGAGCAGACACTGTTTCTGACAAGCTCAACAGAAGCTAAGCCCAGGTGCTGTTTGTCAAGGCTGAGGCCTAATGAGTATTTCAGAGATCATAGCACGGCCCAAGGGTGGGGATGTACCACCACACCTGCCTAAAAGAGTATCTGGGTACATTAGTTAATGTTTGTGTGATGCTAGTAATTATTGTGATGAGACTTGCACAGACACATATTTATAGAAGCAAGCATTTCAGAGGAAAGAGAGAGTTTGGATTCTCATGGCCACAGAGCACTTGTGGCACAATGCAATAACCTGTATCTTAGCTCCATAGAAAAGAATAAGATTGCAGCCACTAATGACAGTAATTAAAAATTTCTGTAAGAGCTGTCCAATCACCTCTTCAATTGCTCTATCTGAGCAAATTATAGTGTGTTATTGAAACCATTAGTGCAATAAAATGAAGCTAAAAACATTTTGCATTAAAATAATCAGACATTGATTTATGATGTAAATTGTAAATCGGTAACCTATAACACACACTAATTGTTTTTCTCTCTCCTGTAAGGTGTGTTTCTTGAAAAGATCTGATCAAGCATATCTATTTGTTCACATGTCACCCTCCAGCGGCTCACACTACTATACAAGACATAATAAGGTGTATAATCAGGTAACCTGCTATTGATTGCAACCCAGAAAGGACACACTTGTTCTTATACAGAAGCGGGAGGATGGCCACTTTTGAAGATTTAATTATAGTTAGATGTCTACATGTTTGCTGGACGTGAATTTTTATGGAGTACCTTCTTAATGTAAATACTTTGACACTGTGCTCTGATAGGTAGAATCAGATTTTGTAAAATAAATATAAATTCAAATGTTTATAGTGTACAATCAGTTTATATAGTAAACAAATCAGTTTATAGTAAGACCAACTGTACCAGCTCCACAAAATACCTCCCCAATGCAATTAGTGTATTTTTCCTTTTTTTGTCTCTCCAAGGAGAAATAGATTTTCTTCTTTTAATTTGTCAGATTTTTATCTCCTTGTGCTTTGCTGTAACTTCCTTATTAGTAAAGGCTGAGTGCAAATGCATCCTGCATGTTGAATTGAAGGTGGTCATGTCTGATACTATTCGATACTGTGTTTCTTTGACACTGGCAAGACCATAAAAATGAAAAAAGTAAGAGAAGGAAAACTAGAGGAATAATACAATTCAGTGAGAGAAAAAGTGTGATTGATACTATATTCCTCAGTGCACTAAGAGAATGGATGAAATGTGGCCAGTTTCAATAGAAACCTTAATGATTATTCCAAGTATAAGTCATAGCAGATCATTGGGAGCCCAGAGAATTATGATGCACATGATGGGAGTTTAATTACAATGCTCATTTGAGTATCCTGTAGCCATTCCACAAAACGCATAGCAAAAAATGTTGACCAAAAGTAGCTGTTGTTGATATGCAGTAGCCACTTTTAAAAGCTCAGGATTCCAGCCCTTTCATTGTTTTTGATTTATAATTCCCTTTGAAAACACAAATTACATTTAGTAACATCATAAAGAAATCGCTTACAACATATTCTGCAAATGTATAGCTGCGGGAAACAGGAGGCTATCAGAAAATAATCAAAAATACTTATTGTAGTCTAGGTTTTTTCCCTGTTATACAAGCTTTGCCACTGCCGCTTTGGAAATGTTGATTTGCATCACCTCCACCAGCCCTCAACAAAATGTGGTTGCTGGGAGAGGGTGGGAGTGGGGGGACAAGCGGTGGCACGACCTTCTCCCCAGGGATCTCTCCTGGCAGCTCTCTCAGAAGGAACGAAGTGGGAGGGGCAGGTAAAAAGCCTCCCTCAGGGCTTGCTACGGAGTCCCCAGGGCACATCTCAAGTTTTCAGGCCCTTGGATTTTTTCACAGCATGAGGGAAATGCCCTCTCTGCTGCAGGAAGCCCTCACCTTGCTTGCCAAATGTATATGTTGAGCCCCAGCTATATTAAGTCACTTCATTCCACATAGCACAGGGTTCACGCCTGCCGCCCGTCAGAACCTGCCAAACCGCCTCAAGAAATTTCTTGGAAGAGGCTCCGACCCTCGGGCAGGGGGTGGCAGAGGCGGGAGCAGTGGGCTGCGGCTGCTGTGGGCTGAGGGGAGCGTAGTGGTGCTGGAGTGGGAGCTGCAGGGAAAGGCTGCACCCTCTAGCCTCAGCTCTCGTTTTTCCCAAGCGGTCACTGCCTCTCAGCACCATTCCTCTGTCCTCTGAGATGTTAATCTCAAATGCCCTGTATTTACATGTACTCAAGTGTGATCTTGGCAGACCCTTATTAGTGTTATTGCTGTAATAGACTTCTCCTCTCTAACCTCTAACTTCTTGCAACAAACTAGCTCGAACTGCTATGCTTTGGCAATTCATTAGATAAGCATATTATGTAAAAACCCTTCTATGGTGGACACATACAGGAAATACTTCTGTCAGATGTAATTTTCAGAGGTAGCACAGCTATTTGGTTCCATTTTAGTGACATTAGATGTTAGGGGGTCTCTTAGTTTGGGGTTTTTCCACAGTTACATAAGCCACTGCCCGTCTTTCCCAGCCTAAAATAATAATTATTATTATTATTGTTATGTCAAAGTGCATTCTATAGCACAATCAAAAAAATCAATTGCATATAGTTGATGCACAGTCCAGTGTTCTTGGCAGCAAGCTTGCAAGTTATAGGAAGTCTTGAAATACATGGAGTTTGATCCTCAGCAGCATGGGCTGAGCTAGAGAGGAGGACAGAGGTGAGAGGTGCCCTGCCTGGGGGCTCTTGCTCTGAGTGAGGAAGGACAGAGGGTTTAAGCAACCTCTGCTCCTTAAATCAGCTCAGCAAGTTGACAGATTGTGGTCAGCATGCTGTCAGACAAGGCCAACTGCTAGAAAATAATCAGCGGGAGCAGGTAAGATAGAGCAAAACTGCACAATAGCAAATACTTTCTTTAAAAAGTAAACAATGTCCAAAAACACCCATCCACGTTTCACACCGATGCCAGCTAGAAAGCAGGTTCTCATGGAGAATTAGCTCAGCCATGGCAGCAGTGGGGGGAGGCACAAAGGGGCACTCTCCCCTCCCAGCTGAACGGGAACTGGATTTACTTTCTCTAGCATTTCATGGAAATAAACCAACCAGCAGCAACACCACCTGTGAAACCTAGTCCTGAGACCCACCATTCCTGGGAGCATGGCAGTGTTTTGTCCACTGGCACAGCATCACTGAGATCTAGGTGTAGATGGGGAGACAGAGGGGCTGCTGGCATTCCCCCTGCTGAAGGCAGGTCTCAGCAACATCAGCGGAGGATGAGCAGGTCCCACAGTCATCCCATCCCACCCAGGCAGTATGACCAGATTTCCCCCAGCACAGAGGTACAGGGAGCCATGGCAGCAGTTGGACAGGCTGAAATCCTGGCAGCTGCATTCCCCAGTGAAAAGGGGTCAGATGGCCACCTCATCTCCCCTCTCTGATCATTACTTCTGTTTATCTTCCTGACAAGCACAGTGCAGGCATTACATTTTGGTATGTCTGTCGAAATCAATATGAGGCCAAAGTAAGAACTAGAAATGTTGGAAGAGAAAGAGATTACAGTGCTGCCCAAATCAAACACTGAGCTGGGGGAAATTCCTGCCCAGGCCATAAAAAGCAACCTCTGCAGCTCCACTGCCCTGAGATGGATTGACAGTCTGCTCATGTCACAAGGGGTTAGGGTGAGGAACAGCCTGGAGTTGTTTATGATTTTGGGCCCCCCTCGACAGTTCAGTGGGCTGTCACCTCTGTGACAATCATCCTTCTGTGAATTTGCTCTTCCAACTCAGGCAGATGACCTGCTACAAAAGCCCTCTGAGCAGCTCTCCCCCTTTCAGAAAGACCTTTGGCTCTTGAGCATGCTGCATATGGGCAGCCCCTCGTGCCCTGGCTGTATGGGAACAAAAGCAGCCTGTGTTTGCAGGGCTGGGCAATGTTTTTGCTCCAAGGAGTCTCACATTCACGTGCTGCCCACTACGCTCAGGAGCAGGGTTCCACAGGCACTTGAATTGGCAGCTGGTTCACAGCCCATGTCTCTGACCTGCAAGACACAGGGAACAAGCGCCCTGAGAGTGCAGTTGCTTGGCCCCTTCCCTGTGCAGCACCACAACAGGCTGCTGGTCTGGCTGTCAGTCCCTCTATGGAGCAGGTTCCCAGGACACTCACCTCTTACAGCCAGTTCTTCTGATGGTAGTGGCAGGTACACCAGTGCTGCTGAGGAAACTTGTGTACTTAGGAAGACAACATCCACCAGGATCAGACCCAGCTCTGAGCTAAAGAATGATTGCTGACCTCAGTGGTAAATGTCTGCTCTCCATCGTCCTCCTGCTTTTCTTTTTTTTTTAAGACATCCTTAGGTATATGGGAAAGACCAAAAAAAAAGAAAAAAAAAGGAAGGAAAAGGGAGGGAGGGAGGGAGGGAGGAAGGAAGGTTTGTATTTGTTTTTTAAACATTCTCTCCATTGGATGCAAATACTCACTCACTTTGGATGTCCAGTTCTGAATTTGCCTTCATGAGCTCTCTGCTGTTTTTCATCATCCATTCCAGCAGCCATCTCAGAGCTGGCTTCTTATAATTCAGAACCTTTTAAACCCTGGAAAAGGAAAATGTAGGTACCTTTTGGGGATTAAGAAAACATCAACATCCATGCACGTAGAAATGAAGACCAAGAGAAAGGAAAGCCAGAAAAGAGAGGGGCAGTTCTACAGCAGTGATATTTTGTGCCACTTGCAGAGTCAACCATGGAGGGAGGATGTAGCAGTCGTAGTACTGCCAAGGATATGTGTGTGGATGGAGGGCAGCGTGCCCAGTTCCTAGTGTACAAATCTAGATATACTGGTACTTAAATATGACTGGCTTTAACAGACTTCTAAGAAAACTCTAAGTAAACATAGAATGGTTCCTTTCCAAAGAGAATTTGCTGCAGTGTTGTTGCCCAAGACAGTCTGTTTTTTTGACATTGCTGTGCATGGTCTTCTAGGTGCATGTTGGCAAAACATGAACAAAAATGGCTCAGCTTCATAAAGTACTGGGGGGTGAAAATGTAAGCACATTTTTATTTATAATGAATTAGCACCAAGATAGGCAGTAGCCACATTAAGAGTGACAAAAACAAGATGCAAAACTAGATCTTGCTGAGACTTTTTTTTTTTGACAAGTTCACTGACTGTGGCTTTAACCACCAATGCTGGTGCAGCAAAAGGATTTCTAATCAGCCACTAATGTATGATTGTTTAATTTTAACAGGCATGATCAATACCATCCATTCCTTCTTTAAATGCTAATGAACACTGTAATACAACAGATGTGGACAAACAGTACATTGCAGATTAAAATTAGGCAAAGGCATTAAATTGCTTGCAAACAGCAGAGGAATCCTGCTGGACATCTTGACAATCAATCACAGGCAGCTGATAAATCTTGAATTGCCACCACCAGTCCACAGTATCTCAGGCTTGTACAACTACTGATCACCCTAGAAGAGAAAGGTACCCTTCTAAATTCTTGCAGTTTCTTTCTCAGGACTTGTGCAGGCCCAACTGCGATTTCTGAGATGCATATGCAAATTTTAATAACACAAGTACATTTCTAGCAAGAACTCTCAGGTGCAGTTACTATTAGTTGGTATCCTCCAGCCCACTTTGATCACAGTAAGAAATGTCAGGGAAGGATCACCAATCTAGATAAAATCCTAGTCCCCTGCTAACTTGTGACAGAGTAACACCCAGTGCTAATTTGTCCACATCCCCCAAATTAGTTGGCAGGCTCAGTAAACCAGGGCCAGAAGCTGGATTACTAACTAGCTTTCAGCCAGTATGAAGCCACAGGAAAGCAGCAAACTTTGTTACTACAGGGCTTCACGTGCAACCGAATTCACCTTAAGGTAAAGCTTCTATTTGTTCTGCTCTTAACTGCTGTCAGAGGGAAAGGTGCTTGAATGACAGAGCTCCAATTCCTGACACCTGGTATCAATTGTGTCCTGCTCCATTGTTTTTGGTGGACTGTGTCCTAAATTCATGAAATGCAAGTCCCAGTTCACTCTAGTAGGTATTGGAAACTCACCACAGGGCTCGGTCCTCACTGGGGCTGGTGGCAATCCGAGGGAGGAGAGCTGCATGTACCCCAGGAGTGACCTTTGTGTGGAGCAGGGAATCTACATGTCCTTTCAAATGTTCAGTGACAGGGCTATGACAACAGCTCCCTCACCCTCAGTGGGTGATGTGCCAGCAGCTTTGCCAGCATTGCTCAAAACTGTGAGCCAGCGAGTACCACCTGGGATGGATGGTAGGTAGCACTTTGTTCAAAGGCATCTCTAATTTATGGTTTCTTGGCTTTCAGAGGGTACCATGCACTGCTTTGGGTTCAGCTTCCTTTATCTGTTTCTTCCTTTTTTTCTCTCTTGCATCTTGTGAAACCCAAACTTTTTTCCTCCTTTTTAATTGTGTGAAATCAACGTGGAGTGAAAAGGCCATGAAGAAACTTTCTGATGCCAACTGAGTCTAAGCTGTGTCTTTGTTCTCACCAGAGCTAAAGACCACATTAATCAGAAACTTTGCTGACCTTGTCTTTACTACCTGAAGACTGAAAGACAAAAGCAACACAGTCTGGCCACATTTAAAAATTCAATTAAAAAATGCCAGCTGCCCAGGGATAAACATTATCATAGACCTCAGTGGGGTTAGCTGTAACTGTGATAAAGGCAATGTCTTTTTCTCACTCTATTTTTATTATTTTTTTCCCAAAAGAATGAAGCCTAGGTTTTGATACTCCTGATTATGACAACTGTGTATGTGACAGAGTGTGCTCAGTGGTGGTGGGTAGCTAGTGTTGGGGCTTTTAATCAGGAGCAAAGTAAGAAATTCCTGAGAGGGATGGCAAGCTGAAAGTGGAGAAGTAAAGCTACTGAAGTGGACTTGCAGCAAAATGTCCCTGTGTTCCTTTTTTTCAGACTATTATCTTTTCCTATAGCCCTGGCAAAAGCAGACCAGACAAGGGGTGAGGAGACCCTGCTCAGAGCTGGACTTGGCATCTGGAGGCAGAAGTGAGGTTAGGGGAGGGGTAACAGCACAACTTCTTCCCTAAGGATGAAACGGAGAGCCTTTTGTTGTGGCACTTGGCTGTGCCTTACTAATTTTATTATAGAAATATTAAGCAAGTGAGTGGATATCCAGTCAGCTGAGAACATGAGCAGCCAAACAGAGGGGAGAAAACCAAATGAAATCCCTTGGTGCTGACAGTGACAGGAGGAGAGGCAGCAGCTCTCCCTGTCCAGTGGCCCCGGTCCAGGTGGGTACCGGCTTCGCGTCAGCAAATTAAATAGGAGCAGGCGCATCTTCTCTATGTTGAACGTTCAGTTACATAAAGGGCCAAATTCTCTCTCAGAACATCCTCCGGCCCCGCCAGCTCCCTCTGGTCCTCTCCTTCCCCGGCTTGCCAGCAGCCTGCCTGTGGGGCTTCCTCGAGTGCTGCACCTTTATCCACCCGCCCTCGCTGGCTCTGCTCTCCCCTTCGCCCCTCCTGGGCTCGCTCTCACCCTGTGGGGGCATGCCAGGGATGGCCGTGGGCTGCGGAGGGGTGTGGGGGTACCTGCGGTGCTGGGAGGCCGGAGGGGCCACTGGCAAAGAAGTCCTGCTGGGTCTTCCCAAGTGTCGGGGGGGCACTGGGGAGCTGGTCCCACTGTGCCGCCCGCCCGAGGAGCTGCGGGAGTTACCGCTGTGTGGGGTGTTTCTGCCTTTGCCAGCAGACCTGTCCCTCTCTGAAGCAGTGTCTGAGGCTGTGCTGGAGGCACTGCTGCCTTTTGAGTTCAGATGCAGATTCGAGAGGTTTCTCATCAAACTATGTGAGATAGGAGAAGAGTTCCTGGAGTGGCTGATGGAGGTGAACTGGTGACTGACAGGAGCGGGTGTCCTCCTGACGGCTGCAGCGTAGGAGTCTTGGCTGTGAAGGTAGGGCAGGTAGTGGGTGACTGTGGTCGGGCTGTGGGGGTGGCTGTGCTGGTGAGAAACGGCTTTTGCTATCTGAAGCATACGCAGTGTCTGCATCCACTGACTGTCAATGCCTGGCAGGGAAATGGAAACAAAGTCAGCTTTCTGTGAATTGGTGGAAAACTGCTCTCAGGTTTACCAAAGGTATGAGGTTAGTACCAGGGTTTCTCTCACAAGAACCTCCATATATCTCAAACCACCCTTTCCCTCCCAGCCTTGAAGCAAATGGTCCTAGGTTTGAGTATGTTCAGTGTTATGGTTGAACATAATTTTGGACTTTTAAAATAGCAAGTGATACAAGTATTTCTGATGCCAGTGCAGATTATGGAACTTAGACTAGAAGATACTTACTGAACCATCCATTTGGCTGTTCAGGTGGGTTCCCCCTCCCGATGTTTTTAACCCAGTCTGGGTTTAAACATATACTGTGATGCTCTTGGCAACCTCAGCAGATTTCAACACAGTTTTCTTTACAAAAGAACCTGGAGACTTCCAGAGCATGCATAGAGCAGGCATCCTAAGGTACCAGCACCACTGCAGCATCACCTTCCACCTGCATCTCTCCCATCCAGCACAGTCATACTGTTTGCAGCTCAGCACAGAGAAGAGTCAGAGCAGACCCAGTGCAAACCTCAGCTGCAGCAGCCAGATTTATCTCCTTGTTCTCCAATTTCTTTTCAAACTGCTACACACCACAACAACCAGAGCTACTTCAGTTGTTATTGTTACTACAAATTCAGAAGTCAAACCACTTTGCATTCAGCTTCATGATGGATGCAAAAAATCATCTCTGAATGTGGAAAAGCCAGTGAGGCAGCAGACTTCAGCCAGGATAGCTCAGACAGTGCTTAACTGTGAACAACTCAGGGTATTACAGTTCCCTCTACACCTACTGTGACAGCCCTGTGGTTGTAACAAAAGTCGTAGCTCTGAGAGATCAGACTGAAGTGGGTTTGAAAGTCAGTCCTGTGGTTTCCATGAAAGCCTTTAGCAAATACAGTAGTAGTAAATTTTCCATTTGAACTGCAAAGGCTGCCTGGTTTGCTACTTTGTGGGTAGAGCAGAGACCAGGAATTCCTCTTATCCAAGGCCACAGCTCTGGCCAAAAACCCACGGGGAGCAGCTAAAATTATTTTGCTCTAGAGAGGTTTGAATGATTTGTCCTTAAATATCACTGATATCATTCCAATAGGAAAGCATAACCCTCGCTGCCTCTTAGTGGAATGCTGCATTGACCATGGGGAGTTTTGTGGGAGCTGTGTAGTGGCTCTGTCCTCATTAGGATTGCTCCTGTTAAAAACGTAATGGATGATGTCTTTCATTCCTCCTTTCCCCAGACTTTGTTTGAATCTAAAGAGATTTAAATCACTTCAACTTAATGTCAAATATGTCAAAAGGAAACTGTCTTTCGTGTCATAGTGCGAGTGTGACACCAACACCGCAGACAGCTCCATCTGCACTGAGATGAACCTTCTTTCACAGAAAGACAGATGGGATTTACCTGCTTGCTTCTTAACCTCTTAAAAACTCATGGTTTCAAAAGAAACCTGCCTGCTGAAATGTACTTGATAGATATTATCTCCTCTGCCATTTCCCAATGCCCTCCTGTGAAGGCTGTGGATGTAAGTCACAGACCTCATAAATCTGGAAGCAGCAGGCTCAGGATTCAAGTTTGGGTCTTCATCTGTTATCAATACTTGGGTGGCCATCACATGCCCCATGGGACCAGTGCCAATGCTGTCCTGAACAAGGGGCTCCCTTGAGGCTGTTCAGTCCTTGCTCCTCATAGCCAACCATGGCTGCCAGCTCAGGAACCAGCTGGCCAGCAAGGATCTGCCAGTGCGCCCTGTGGGACTGCCTCTCATGGGCTGGGGGGCTTCTTCCTCACGTGGTCGCTGAGCCACCAACTCTGTACACTGAATTAAATGCTCTATGTGGTAGCCCACATAGGTAGTATCTTCATTGCTTGTTATTTTACCCTATTAGACAGGTACCTTTGTGCTTGGATTTGGTGATTTTTTTTGAAACCTGGCATTTTAAACCTGCAGCTTCTGAGGCTACAATCTCAGTATGTGTCAGCACTAGACACATCTCTTACAGGAGGTACCCTTTATCCGAACACAACATCTGTGCAAAGCTGCCTGTGTGCTGAGTGGCTAAGGGCAGGAGGGAAGAGCTGGCCAAAGCACTTCTATTGAGTTTGGGTTGCAGGGAGAGAAAGCCAGATAAAAAGCTGATGAAAGCACTGGCTCTCCAAGTTCTCAAAATAGCTGCAGAAAACTCCATTATTCCCAACATATACAGGGTAGAGTTGGGTAGAGATGCATGAGATTGTCTCCTTTAACAGCAGATGCCTTCCTAACATCCTGGTTAGGAAACTAATCTTCACCCAAGGCCCTGCACACTTTGTGTGGGTTCCGTAATTTAGTCCAAATCCTTTTGCTATGCCAAGACACTTGGCTCCACAAAGCTGAGTACTTGCTTCTCTTGGTGAAGAGACGCAGATTTTGCAGAAGGGCAGACCTGCCAGCTGATCCCCAATCCCACAAGCAGCCTGCTATCATGAAAAGGCTACTGTGGATGTGTATGCGTATCCCAGAGAGTGGAAGAAGCCTGGACTGCTGGCAGAAACACCTCTCCCAATAACCTTATACACTGTAGGGGATCAAAAGATTGAACCAAAGCTGACCCAATGACAGAGTTGAAAAAGTACTAGAATTTAAGGTTGCTTACTACTGGAAGATGTGAAGCATTCCAGGGTTGGAGCAGAAGGACCCGACCTCTATGTCCGCTATTGATGTGCAACTGCAAGTGACTACAGCAGACAAAAGATCTGTAGCTTACCTCCATGGACAGCTTCCAGAATGCTTCCTACAGAGGCACACAGGTCATCCCCCTTACCCTTCACCCAGGTAATAGACAGTCCTACCAGAGGGGATGCAATAATGGATCTGATGGTCACCAATGTAAGCAAGTTAATTGGAGGCATCAAAATTGGAGGCAGCCTGGGCTGCAGTGACCATGCACTGGTGGAGTTTGCAGTCCTGAGGGATATCAGTCAGGTAAAGAGTAAAGTTAGGCTTCTGAACTTCAGGAAAGCAGACTTCCAGCTCTTCAAGGAGATAGTCAATAGAAACTCCTGGGGATAAGGGAGTGGAACAGAGCTGACAGCTCTTTAAGGAAGTCTTCCACAGAGTGCAAGAGTTCCCCAGGAACAAGAAATTGGGCAAGGAAGGTAGGAGACTGGCGTGTCTGAGTAGGGAGCTACTGGTCAAACTAAAGGGAAAGAAGAAAATGCACAGGAAGCAGAAAGAGTATAGAGATGAAATTCGGTTGTGTAGGGATGCTGTGAGGAAGGCCAAGGCAAAGCTGGAATTGAACCTGTCAAGGGATGCAAAGAATAACAAGAAGGGCTTCCACAGCTATGTTAACAAAAAAAGGAAGGTCAAAGAAGGTGTACTCCCCTGATAAACAACACTGGAGAACTGATAATAACAGATGAGGAGAAGGCTGAGGTACTCAACAACTTTTTTGCCTCAGTTTTCAATGTCAGCCTCTCTTCCTATGCCTCTTGAGTGGATTGACAGCAGGATGAGGATTGGGGGAGCAAAATGCTTCCTGATCTTTACATTAGTGGACAAGGGAAGGGCTACAGATGTCATTTATATGGACTTCTGTAAAGCCCTTAACATGATCCCCCACAACATCCTTCTCTGTAAACTGGAGAGAGATGGATTCGATGGGTGGACTCCCGGGTAGATAAGGAATTGGCTGAATGGTTGCATCCAGATGATAGTAGTCAACAGCTTCTAGTCTCAATGGACATCAGTGACAAGTGATGTCCCTTAGGGGTCCATACTGGGACCAGTGTTATTTAATATCTTCAGTAATGACACAGACAAAGGGATCAAGTGCACCCTCTGCAAATTTGCTGGTGACACCTGCAGTTGACATGCCTGAAGGATGGGATGCCATCCAGAGGGACCTGGAAAAGCTCAAGAAGTGGGGCCACGGGAATCTCATGAGGTTTAACAAGACCAAGTGCAAAGTACTGCACCTGGATTGGGGCATCAATACAGTCTTGGGGATGAACAGATTGAGAGCAGCCCTGCTGAGAAGGACTTGGGGGTGCTGGTGGATGAGAGGCTGGACTCAAGCCACCAATGTGCACTTGCAGCCGAGAAAGCCAAATGTGTCCTGGGCTGTATCAAAAGCAGCGTGGTCAGCAGACTGAGGGAGGTGATTCTGCCCCTCTACTCTGCTCTTTTGAGACCCCACCTGGAGCACTGCATCCAGGTTTGGGGTCCCCAGCATAGGAAGGACACTGGCCTGTTGGAACAAGTCCAGAAGAGGGCCACAAAGATTTTCTCCCTGAGAGGAAAGGCTAAAAGAATTGGGATTGTTCAGCCTGGAGAAAAGAAGGCTTCTTGATGACCTAATTGCAGCCTTCCAGTACTGGAAGGGAGCCTACAAGAAAGATGGAGAGAAACTTTTCACGAGAACACGTGGTGACAGGACAAGGGGAAATGTCTTCAAACTTAGATTAGATAATAGGAAGAAATTCTTTACTGTGAAGGTGGTGAGACATTGGAACAGGCTGCCCAGAAAAGTCATGGATGTCCCATCCCTGGAAGTGTTCAAGGCCAGGTTGGATGGGGCTTCGAGCAACCTGGTCTAGTGAAAGGTGTCCCTACCCATGCAAGGAAGGCTGGAACTAGATGATCCTTAAGGTCTCTAATTCTATGAAATCACATTGAGATATAGAACAAGTTAGTACCTAAAGTTTAGCCTTTAAGCGAAGTCAGACACGCCAGGATGCATGCATCTACACAGGCATCACAGGGACCACAATGGCAGCTGATGCTGAAAGATGTGCTCTGTTGTTGGAGCAGAGGAGTGGTATTGACTTTTTGCTGTTCTCCTCACATATGCCCTGCTCATGTCAACAATAAAGTTTGTATATATTGACTTACCTGAGTCAGATCTGCTCCGCGAATTCCCCTCTGAGTTGGGGACCGAGGTCTGTATCATGAGCTGTACTGTCTCAACCTCGTCCTGTGCTTTCACCTTGCTCCAGCAGATAGCTTGGATGTGCCTGGTGCTTTTGGGAGCTCTAACATCACTCTGCTCAGGAAGGACACAACACATGTGAGGATATAACAACATACAACACACTAAGCTCTCCTAGGAGGGAACATCCATGAGTGCCTGGGCAGCAGCAGTGCTTTTAATAAAGAATCTATTCTGCAAAACCATTTAGCCAGTTCTCAAGTATTTTTAGACTCTATATAATTTTGGCTGGAACTTTGTGATTTTGCTAAAAATATGGTAGAGAATAACTGTTTCAATTCTTGTACCATGTGGAGGAAAGATCTGAAGGCCTTCCTCTACAAACACAAAAATACATTTTACTAGTTCTATTAATGTGAACATCAAATGTGCCCTGCTAAAAGAGGGAGGACTAAGCAGGTATTTTTGCAGGGGAACCCCCAATAAAATTTTCAAGGAGTACCAAACTCTTCAGTTTGTTGTTAAGGACAGCAATTTGGACCTGTTAAGGTCCAGGATTTCCATGTTTCTCCATTGCTGCCTGAATACTTATTCAGGACAGAGCTGGAATCTCAATTATTAGCCTCCTTCTGATGCACAGCATTGGTCTTTATAAAAACACTCCTGTAAGTAACTGTAAACCCTTTTAACAACAGCTAATTTCTATCATATCAAAAAGTATTCCAGACTTTATTTTATCTTACTATACTCTTGATTTCTCATTTCCTCTCTTCTTCTGTTGCTTCTCTGCCCTCCTAATTAGCACGTCTTTGAAAAGATAAAAACCAGCCTCTTCAAGTAATGCAAACAACACTGACCATTACACTTCAAGAAAAAGGAGCTTTCCTTCTTGAGAAGAAGAGCTGTCCAAAGCAGCAGTCTGAGGCCATTGTCTCTGTAAACTTCATTCAGCTTTTGCTCTGAACTTTAGATTGTACAATTAATTGCAGGCAGCTGAGACTCAATTATAGGATATAACAAAGCCAGAGGATGCTATTTCCACACCTCCTGTGTAGGTTTTATCTTTTTTTATCTAAAATTGTTTTATCAACAATTTTATTTGTTTCTTAGAGTTTACCTCATATGTAACAACACATTCTACAGACTGGTGTTCTTCTATCCCCACAATCCATTTCTCCATTACAAACGGTGGCTGAAAAAAACACGGTAGAAGTTTTATAAGGTGCTTTTCATCTCCTGCCCTGTTTTTGAAACACCCCAGAGATATTTCCAACATTTGCCTCTTTTCATCCATTCCCATATTGCTAACATCAATACCTTTTTAAAATTTTATGAGATAAAGTAGTGTATTTTGGAAATATTTACTTCCTTGTTTACAAAAGGAAACTGAGAAGAGATTTCCATATGTAACAGGCAGTAGGTAAGACAATGTGGAATGTTTTCATGGGGGCATAAACCTTTTTTCAATTTTATGCATGTACAGGGTTTTACAGAGGCCAGCAAGAACAAATACCTAGAGATTCTCAGAGATATTCCTTGACAAAATTAAAAATGTTGAAATATGTGGAACATTAATGTTACTGTATCTAGTTGTTAGTTTATTTAAGCTTTTTTTTAAGGAAAAATTGAAATGTCTGAGATTAAAATTAAACAGAAAACTAATAATAACAAACCCAATCCTAATAATAAAAAAATTAGAAGAGTTGTTCCAGAAATCACTAACAATTAAAATAGTATTAGCATGAGTTAAATATTATAATCCCTGTTGGCAAATATACCTATATCACATTTCCCTTAAAATTCTGACTGTTGACAATCTGCTTTTCATTTTTTTCCTTGAGAAAAAATAACCAAAGGTTTCCCCTCCAATTTTACCCCAAAAATTCACAGTTAAAAGCATTCAAGAGTTTGGGTGTTTTTACCAGTGCACCTAGAGCAGCATAATTGGTAATCAAGCTGTACATTTTTTCAGTTAGAAATTTATTTTGCTAGCTATTACCAAGTGGAGCATACTAATAAAACAAAAAAATTAAAAAGACAGCTAACAGAATGCTTTTTGCATTAACAAAACTTCTGCTGCTTAGGAAAAAGCGGTCTAAGTACTTGCTGGTAAATATTTACAGGGAGGTTCTGAAACAAGGTAAAATGCCTAGTGACACTGAATTGCAGATGTTCAGTGATGTACTGTCTGCAATGGGTTTCAGTCTTTGCAATCCATTGTTACATGAAAGAGAGTTTTAGAAGCATGCAAAAGTTCTAAAACCACGTCAAAAAAAAAAAAAGAGAGAGAGAGAGAAAAAACCCATAAAAATTCCAGACAAACACATGAAGCTTCTGGAACATTTAAATCAGTTTCTTCTCTTGAAAAAGAAAGCAATTTTTTTGATATTATTTTCTTTAAAAGGGGTAATAAATTCAGAGGATATAACATGAAATTAAAACCAGAAAATATAAATTAGTTCCTTCTCTTATTTTTCTGTTGTTAACATTACTGTCATCTTAAAGGAGAACCAAAACACCTAACTCCTATTATGATACAAATCTGTTTAAAATGTGCGTTTTATTTAAAAGCTGTCAAGAGATTGAGCTTCTGCAAGCACAAAAGTCGACTGCTGTGGTATTTTAATGTCTTTGTTTGAGATCTGTGAATTCATGAAAGCTTTAAGGCTGTAAATACCTTTGTCATCTTTAAAATCTCTACATCAGGTAGGTTAGTGTTGAATGTCACATCTTTTATGTAGGTTATTGCAATTTCATCCCCGTCCATCTCCATGTACATTTTCCATTTACAATCCTATGAATAATAAAAAAAAAGAATGCTGGATTGTTAGAATACAGATAGAAAAAAACAATAAACAACAAAACCCCAAATGAAACAAAACTGAAAGCTGAAACAACCCAAAATCTAATCCTCAATATATGAGGAGAAAAAATAACCCAGAAGAAAGTTAAGGGACATATTCATATTTTAGGATATGAATGTTTTCCAGTACAAGTGCTGATAATGGAAACCCCTCAGTTCTCTTGTTCACTCTTAGCTCACCTTGAGAGGCAGCTGCCTCTCAGACAGGTCTGGATGTCTTCAGAGGTGTGGATCCCCTGCAGTGCCTCACCTGGACAGACAGCCTGTTGGAGCAGGCTTGGGAGCTCTGCACACCCAGGGTGGAGGGACAGGGCAGTGGTGGGAGCTGTCACCTGGGGTCACAGTCAGTGCTGGCAGCCAGCCCCAAGGACATTGTCCTGATGAACTCAGGAACAAATGACCAAAGGGTCTGTGAAACACCTTCACGACAATTGCTCAAATAATGGGCAAGAGGATGAGCTTGTTATTACAGCTCAGTTATTTCAGATACTGAGTGCCCAGGGAGGCACTGAGCATCCTCAACTTCTGTTCACCTCCAATTGCACTATTAATTATAGGCAAGCCCAGCTTAGAAAATAAGCACAGTGAGTCTAATAAACCAAAGCAATAAAAGGTATCCTTAAAAAATCCCCCAAGCTGAACAGGGGGCCAACATCCAACATTTTGCACAGGTGTGAGCCTGCAGAAGGTGACAGCTCTGGTAGCATCCCGCAGGACATCCTGCATTGGCTGAGTGCTGGAGCCAGGGTTCAAGTCTGTGACCAGGGAGGCTCCCACTGGGGACTGGAGACTGCCTGTCCATGGTCCAAAACAGCCAACATTTGCTGGTGTGCCTGGCAGGTGTTTTGGGGATGAGGTGCTGTCCTGTGCACTGAGCTCCTCCAAAAATCTGAAGGACAACAGGACTAAGGTGAAGCACTGTATCTCCATCTCCATATAGGAATGAGGGAATCTTCCCTTCACAGTGGCAGGAGCTCCTCCAGACACACCAGGGGCTTAGGAGGGTCTGTGTCCAGCAGGTGTGGTCTCAGTACTTGCTGGACGCATTCTTCACCTCAAATCTGCTCAGAAAATGCAAACACTTTCAGTGCGGAAACAGACGGCGGCTTAGGGCATGGGCCACAGTTGTTTGCACACACAAACATACAGCAGCCTAAGAAGTATCCATTCACAAGAGATTATCTGCTAGTGTTTGCACATGCTTCTCTCATAAGTGTAACGTAGGAGTGCAGCCCTCAGAAGTCTCAAAGCTTTCAATCAGGCACTGAATTGGCAATACCAAGATAAACGAAAACTGAAGTACAAACATTTCCAAACTACAACAAGAAATTATGTTTGTGACAGCATTTGGCCCTGCATGTCCATCTGTTCTCATTGAAAGTTTTCACATTTTACGAGCAGAGTGGATGTGTGAGTTGGTTTTCGCGTTGCCCTGGTGCTAGTTTGAGTGATGGGAACTGCAGTTCAGTGGTCAAGGACCAGACCAAGACTCAGAGGCACCAAGCTCCATTTCCAGTTGTGCTATTGGCTTTCTGTGCAACCTGATAAGGTGCTAGAGTTGCCCTGTGCCTCCATTTCCTAATCATGGACTGTATGTCTTCGCGTATCTCTTTTCTGTCCTGCTTTTTGGGTTTGTGAGCTAACCCAGGCTAATGCCTGTCCTGTCTGAGGTAGGCACAGCATGACACCCCGGCCCTGACATGAGCTGAGGACAGTATATCCTACGTAACTGAACAGCAAGAGCAAAGAGAGCTGTCTCTGACTCCTCCTTGTCCCTCAAATTGTGCTCCTCTCCCAGCCCACACCATTCTTGTTGTCAGCCTTTTTTGCAGGACTTCCTACATTCGTGCTATTGCAAATTGAACCTGAGGTTAGAGACAGGATGCTTGATCACATTTTTAAGTTTTACAAAAACACCTGAGCCAAGGAAAGAAAAAAATATTGACATAAAGTACTATTCTCCAGTTAGTTCAGCACATCTCCTGCCGTAATACCAGTGCCAAGAACCTGAGAGCCAGAGCTGCACCTTGTGCCAGGGCTCCTCATGACTCAGGATTTTGTGCTGTTCACTCACATTTCCCTACAGACTAGATCTGACAAACATGATCTCATTTTAATAAACAAAAGAAATCAACCAGCCATCTCTAAAGACAAGGCTGACAAGCTGTGTTCATCCAGGGTGTGGCAGGTGGGCACCTGCCAGTGCCCGGCCCCTTGCCGGATCCGCGCGCACGCAGGAGGGGCTCTCCATGCAGTAACGAATCAGGCTGCCCCACGCAGCGCTGGATCCACGAGCCCTGCACAAACATGGCCTTTCCCAGATCGGAACTGCATCTTCAGACAAACACATACGCTCTCCTGTCCTTCAAACCCAGTCCTCAAACCTTTGGTCCTTTTTGAAGCCCTCTCCAGTCACACTGCGCAGATACCAAAAGGGCAAGTTACCACACTAGGCATACCCTCTCTGGTCAGCCAAAAATACCTGTCTTGTTTTATGTGGCAAGGTTTCCATTCTGTGTTATTGTAAGATCATCACTGGAAAGGAGAAAGAGAGAGAGAGAGAGAGAGAGAGAGAGAGAAGGAAATAAAGAGGGGCAAGAAAGGGAAGGAGATGCTGAGAGAAAAAGAGAAAAGATATAAAAGAGAGAAAGGACGGAAAGAGGGAGGAAGGAAGGAAGGAAGAAAGGATGAGAGAGAGAGAGAAAAAGAAAGATAAGAAAGAAAGAGAGAAAGAGAGAGACAAAGAGAGAAAGAGTGAAAGAGAGAAAGAGAGAAAAAGAAAGAAAGGAAGAAAAAGAAAGAAGGAAGGAAGGAACGAAGGAAGGGAAAGCAACTAGAAAAGACAGTAGATGGATGACTTTAGAATCAAGGCACTTGGGAAATATCTAAAGTAAGTAGGTGGCTACTTGTTTTACACACCCAGTAACTATTTTGTTCAACCACACAGTAAATAATGCATGATTTGCATGCTGCAGAAAGAAATGGACATATTTCACTGTTTTCCAATGGAGTTCTAGGTTCTTAAAACAGGAGAGAGATGCTTATCCACTTAAGCAAAAATGTGGCTAGAATAACAAAGCATATGAATTTCAATTCTTCGATGAATTGTAGCCATAAGGCTTCTTGGACTGGGACTACATTTAGTGCCAGATGTATGTGGGAAAATAATTTGGAAATGGAAAAGTGTCTGGTTGATAAATATGCTTACACGAGTCCTTCAAAGAGACTTCCCTGAACATCTTGTCGTTCAAACATTAAAATACCTCCCAGTATTTACCTGCTTGATTTTGATTTAAATAAAGAATTTCAGCTTTTTGTTTTAAGAAAATATCTAGTTTCAGAACTGAGAGGCAACCAGTTCTGAAACCAACAAAACTTTGTGTGAAAACATTTTTAAATAACACTTCGACAAAGTCAAAAAATCAGCAGCTTCTGAAAAGGATTCTAGAAAAGCAAATCACACATGTATTTGAGCCGCTTCTCTTCAGTTTCAAAACAGAAAGTAAAAACACTTTAAAACTTAAGTCTCCAGCTTACTGTGGTGACAATACTTCTTTAGCCCCATATGCATTAACATCTGCCAAAAAAAAATATAATGAAAGGGAAATGAAAAAGATCAGGCACAGGCTCTAAACAACAAACATGTGTCCTGAAACAACAGCTTAAAACCCTTGCTGGGAAGGCACTTCATTTTTCAAGGGGGCCCAAATCCAGGATTCATTTTAAAACCAGTGGTTGGAATGAACTTTTTTGTTTTTTTAAAGATTGAAATAAAAATGGAAACAGCATTGTAGCAGGTAACTGGATATTAGAAGAAAAGTAAGATGTAGCACGAGATGAAACAAATATGAAAAAAATATTGGTCATGCTGATACTAAAAGTAGTAGCATGTTGATGATTTAGATCCCTAGAAGCTCTTTTACGTTCTTAGCTATTATCTATCTCAGCTGCTGAAACCTGCTGTTTTAAAGGCATTAGAGTTGAACATCTAGTGACAGCACTTGGGTTATTTATCATTATGTATCACCCTGCTACACTATATTTTATTATACTGGTTTTAAAGGAAGATAACACAATTATAGTTAATTTGCTTCTCTTCTTTATATATATAGTGTCATGACCCACCACAGCTTTGTCCCATGAGATATTTTTAACCAAAAAGAAATCCACAAGAAACTCTCCCTAAAAATTCCATTAATAACCTCTTGTAGCATGTATAGGTTGCAGGGTCTGGAACTAAGAATGTTTTAATCTCTTCAGCAAAACAATGTCTCATAATGATGTACAGGACTATTGCTGCACTGATGAAGAATCATACATAATTCAGCACCTTTCACTTGGCACCACTGTGATATCCTCATTAGCAGTGGCTCACAGTGGCTGTCAGATGGTGTCCATGCGAATGCAGGCATTATATTGTCTTTGAGATGTGCAGCTGCTTCCATGACACTGCCAGTATATAAAAACATGACGCCAGTTTGTTTTATTTAGTGCTAAACCTTCCAGTTTGTAAAAACAAGGCTGACACAGAGCCTGACATGAGGCAGTGAAAATAATTAGCTCTCATTTTCTCAGCCTCCTATTTCCTTCTCCCCGCTGTGTTCTCTTTCCACTAAACCACCACATGTCAGTCGAAATGGGAGGCAATTAGTGGGCTCATTTCAGTCCCCACAACTGTGCTGAAAAGAAAGTATTTATGATGGCACAATGAACAGCTGAAAGATTAAATAACATTTGCCTTTTGAAAAGAAAATGACTTCTAGCTAAATGGGCAATTTTTGATTATTCTCAAACAAGCTTAGAGTAGTTGGTTTTTAAAATACAAGAAAGGAAAATGAGTCATTTTTAGGTGAAAGAATCAAATAAAACTTGACACAGTAATGCAAATAACTGATGTTTTATTGCAAAATATGTAAATGTGTTATATCCTT